GGAGGGCCCTTGCAGTGGCAGGCATGATTGCAAAGCAAGCATCTTAGGGCCTGCATTATCTGTCCAGCACTGGATGTGTGCACTTTATTATTATTATTTTGTTTAGTTTTGGTTGGGGGGCCACGCCCAGCGATGCTCAGGGCTTACTCCTGGCTCCGCACTCAGCAATTACTTTTGGCAGTGCACAGGGGACCATGTGGGAGGTCGGGCGTGTACAAAGTTGGCAGGCGCTCGACCCACTGTGCTCTCTCTCCAGTCCCTGGATATGTACTTCAAACAGACTTTTGGGCCCACATTTGGCCCCAAAGCCTAAGAGGCCCACTTGGTTTTGCTGTTTGTTTGTTTGGGGGCCTCACTCGGTCGTGTTTTCATCTGGGCTTTCAGGGGTTGTTTCCGGCAGTGCTCAGGAGACCAGGTGGTAGCAGGGAAGGGAGGAACCTGGGATTCAAACCCCGCACTCGGCCTGTTTGACCTGCCTCTCAGGTCCAAGAGGTCCATTTAGACTGTTTCTTTCTGCCTCTACCCGCCATACCCCATGCTGGGGCTTATTCAATGCAGCCATAGTTCAGACCAGCCTCTCTAGACCCAAACGTCTCCATCCTCCATCCGGGGTTCTCATGAACTCCAAGAAAGCTCCGGGCACATGGCAGACCAGTCTATGAGTGGGGAACTCCAGCTGAGAAAGGGAGTTTCCTGAGGGCTTGCTGATTAGAAAGGGAATGACTTTGAGAAAGTGAAGTTCCGTGGGGTCCGAGCCAGAGTTCAGTGGGGAGGGCTTTTGCCTTGCACATTTCTAATCTGGGTTCCATCCCCGGCATCCCATATGTTCCCGAGCCTGCCAGGAGTGATTTCTGAGTGCAGAGTCAGGAGTTATCCCTGGCACTGCTGGGTGTGGACCAAAAACAAACAAAATAAAAGAAAGTGAAGTCTGGTTGCCAGTTTGAATGTGGAAATCTTACACTGACTCTCCCAGCTTGGCTGCGGACTGCATTGAGGTCTCATGATGATGAAACATCCCTCTCCTTTTTTATTTTAAATTTTTGCTTTTTGGGCCACATCCGGTGATGCTCAGAGGTTACTCCTGGCTCTGCACTCAGGAATTACTCCTCCTGGTAGTGCTTGGAGGATCAAATGGATTGCCAGGAATGGAACCTGGGTTGGCCGCATCCAAGGCAAATGCCCTACCTGCTGTACTGTCACTCTGTCCCCTGAAACATCTCTAATAATCCTGAGGGTCAGGTTTATCAAGATGGTTTAGAGTGTTGTTTAGATGGTTTAGGGTACAGATAGCTTCAGTCTAGTGAACTGCCAATGTGCTGAGCTTTTCTGGGCTTCCCTCTTTCTATCAGTAAACATCTATTGGCTCACAAGTTCATTAAGGTTCTCTGGTCTGACTTACCCATCTCCTGTTTCTGGTCTTTTGATTTTATTTCTTCTAGGGGCCGGGGGTCACACCTGACAATGCTGGGGTGTGATTATATGGGACCAGAGATGGAATCCAGGCCTCCTGCATGAAAGCATATGGTCAAGAACAGGAAAGATAGTACAGTGGGTAGGGCATTTGCCTTGCACATGGCTGACCCAGGTTGAATCCCTGACATCCCATAGGGTCCCTCCAAGCCCCGCCAAGAGTGATCCCCGAGCATAGAGTCAGGAGTAAGCGTAGCTGGGGCGGGGGGGGGGGAAGAAGAAAAAAGAAAAAAAGAAAAGCACATACTCAACTCTCAGAGATGTTTTTCTGGCCCTGCTCTGGTCCTTACTCTCAGGATGGGTGTTTGGGCTGGTATCAAGTTTGATTCTTACCCACTCGCCATTTATCCAGTATAACTTGAATTGTTTCTGCACATAGTAACTGCCTATTAAAAACTGATTCTAGGAAGGAATAACTATTTATAACTGATCACCAAAAGTAAGGTGAAATGCTGTCGTTGGAACAGTGTCTGAGTAGTAAGGCAGAGCTGAGGGTGCCAAAACATAACTGATAAACCACGGCCGGAATGACTCATCAGGGGCTGGAGCAGCCTTAGAAGTGGAGTTGTGGGACTGGAGCACAGTGGGTAGGGCATTTGCCTTGCACTCGGCCAACCCAGGTTCGATTCCCAGCATCCCATATGGTCTCCCAAGCACCACCACGAGTAATTTCAGAGTGAGAGCCAGGAGTAACCCCTGTGCACCGCCGGGTGTGACCCAAAAAGCAAAAAAAATGTGGACTTGTCTGGTGCTGGGAAATATACAATGGTGGAAGAAAGGGTTTGGGAATACCGTATGACTGAAACCTAATCATGAACAGCTTTGTAAGGGTCTATCTCACAGTGATTCAATAAAAAAAGAAAAAGAAAAGAGAAGTGGGCTTATTGGGGCTGGAGCAATAGTACAGTGGGGAGGGCATTTGCCTTGCACATAGCTGATCTGGGTTCAATCCTCGGCATTCCATATGGTCCCTTGAGCACTGCCAGGAGTGATTCCTAAGTGCAGAGCCAGGAGTAGGCCCTGAGCATCGCCAGGTGTCATCCCAAAAAGCCGAAAAAAAAAAAAAAAAAAGAAGTAGACTTGTTCTGTTTCTTTTCCTTTAAAACAAGGGTGGGGAACTTTTTTTCTGCCAGGGACCGTTTGGATATTTATAACATCATTCTGAGCCATAAAATATAGGCAGACAGGCCAGGTAACTGATAAGAAGCATACACGTCTATCTTGTCGTGAACCAGGGCCAGACACCATGATTTTTCTGGGCCTTCTGTGGCCTAGGAGGCAGACATTCTCAGCCCTGCTTTAGAGAGATCTCATTTGGGCCAGGGACGAGGCTCAAGGAGGATGACTGTCCTGCACATGAGACCCTGAGTCTGATACCCAGCACTGCAAAACTAAATAACAGAAGCAAACAAATCTCATTTGTTTTATGAAAGGAATTCATAGAGGGCAGGGAGATATTCAGGTGTAGAGACTGAGCCCCTAAACTAAATCACGCACTCCAGCACTACTGGATATGGTCTTGGTGTCCCCTCAGGAAAAGCCTGTGGGGTTATTTATTTATTTATTTATTTATTTTTTGCTTTTTGGGTAACACCCGGCGATCCTCAGGGGTTACTTTACACTCAAGAATCATTCCTAGTGGCGCTTAGGGGACCATATGGGATGCTGGGAATCGAACCTGGGTAGGCTGCATACAAGGCAAATGCCCTACCTGCTGTGCTATCGCTCCAGCCCCCTAGCCTGTGTTCTTTTGAACATGTATCTCTCTCTTTTTCTCTTATTCAAGTCTTTCTTGTTTGTTTGTTTCTTTTGTTTTGGGGCCACAACCCGCAATGTCAGGGGTCACTCTCTGCTCTGAACTCAGGAATTACTCATGATGGTGCTGGTGGGTGAGGATGGGGTGGGGGAAGCCGGGGATCCAATCCAGGTGAACACCCTACCCTACCTACTGCAATAATACACCAGCTCCTCTTCAAGTACATTTTTTAATTTTATTTTGTCTTTGTGTTTTGGATTATATCAGGCCATGCTCAGGGCTTACTCCTGGCTCTGTGATCTCTCCTGTTGTGCTCAGGAATCAGATGGAGTGCTGGGACTCAACAATTGCCTCACCCACTCTACTGTCACTCTGGCCCCTATTCCTCAGTTTAAAAAAAAAAAATTGTTTCCTTTGGTCTTTGGGCAATATCCCGTGGTGCTCAGGGTTAGTCCTGGCTCTGAGGTCAGGCATCACTCCTGGAACTGTTGGGGGACCCTATCGGGCACAGAGATTGAACTCAGCAAGTGTATTCCTGCTATAGTATTGCATCCCAACTGATCTTTTACTTGTTCGCTTGTTTGGGGCCACACTCAGTGTGGACTGGTGGTGGTGGGACTCATATCATACCAGGGATTGAACCTGAGCTTCCTACAGGCAAAGCTGGTGCTCCAGCCCTCTGAGCCATCTCTGACCCTGCCCAGACATTTTATTTATTTATTGTGTGCCCAGAGGCCTCTCCCGGCTCTGAGCTCCTGGTTTACTCATGCAGTGCCAGGACTCACCAGGCCTCCCTAGTGCAAAGCGAGTGCTCAGTTCGCTGACCTATCTACCTCTCTGGCCCAAATGCGTTTCTTTTCTTACGTGTGTGTGTGTGTGTGTGTGTGTGTGTGGTGCGCGGGATGAAAAGTCACTGTGTTTCAATGAGCTTTGTAGCTGCCTCTGCCACGAAAAGGCGAGATAAGCCTCAGAAGTTGCTGAGTGGCCACTGCACTGCCCGCAGGTTCCTCGGGCAGTTCCGCCTCAGCTGCTGCTCTGGCCAGGGGGGGGTAGGCTCCTGTGTGTCTGTGTCTGTCAGCACTAAGAACCCACCCTTGGAGAGACCCATAATTTTCAGAAGGATGTTGGTGGTCTTGGGGGCGTGGGGGGGGGAGGAGGAGAGTGGAGGGAGGAGCATGCGGGGGGGTGGGCGGGTACAAGTGTGTGCGTGTGTATGTGTGCATGTGCATGCGTGTGTGTGTGTGTGTGTGTCTACACTCCTAACTAAGTTGAGAGCGCCTTTAGGAAGCAACGTCGGACAAGGTCGGTCTCTGGAGTTTCCCAGAGCGACCGGGGGAGGCGGTGGAAGCCGCCTCTCGCCGGCCCGCGCCGCTCGGCCGGCCGCAGCCCCTTTAAGGGGCAGCCCCGGGCCTGGCCCTTTAAATGCGTGTCAGTTTCGCTGACGTCAGTGGGCGTGGCGGCCGCCCCGCTGTTTACCGCCCCGCGGCGCCGCACGCCCGCCCGCGGCCGGAGCCCCCGAGCCTTAAAGGGCCCGTCGCCCCGAGAGCCCGCGCGGCGCGGCTGCGGGCGCTCACCCCCGCGCGCACGCCCCTCGGCGCGGACACTCGGCCCTGCCCGCGCGCCCCGCGCCCGCGCCCGCGCGCCCTCCCGCCGCTCCCCGCGCCGCGGCGTCCCCCGGGCGCCCGGCCACCGGCCGCCCCCCGCCCGCGCGGCCCCCGGGGGCAGCGGCCGCAGGGGCTGCGGGCGGGCGGGCCGGGGGCCCCCGCGCCGCCGCCGGACCCTCGGCGGGGCCCGGCTCCCCGCCCCTGGGAGCGGCTCCTGGGAGTGGACGTTTCCTAATCTCGGTCCGGGGTTAAAGTTCTGGTCCCGGGTGAGATGCTGGAAGCCGCGGCCGGAGCCGCCAGCCGCCCCGGAGGTGTCCAGCTGCCCGCCGCCGCCGCCGCCGCCCCCGCCGCCCGGGCAGGGCCATGTTCGCGCCGGCCTTGCCCCTCGTGGCGCTCCTGGTGGCCTCGGTCCAGGGCCATCTGGGGTCCCTGGGGCCCAAGAACGTCTCGCAGAAGGACGCCGAGTTCGAGCACACCTACACGGACGAGGTCAACAGCGAGCTGGTCAACATCTACACCTTCAACCACACCGTGACCCGCAACCGGGTGAGGGACGCGGCGGGCCGGTGCGGGGGTCGGGGGTGGGGGCTCGGGCTCGGGCCCGGGCTCGGACCCGCGCTCGCCTCGCGGGAGCCCTGGCCCCCACCCCCACCCCAGCTTTCGTTTTCCAGCGGCGGGGCGCGCGCAGGAACCTCCGGACCAGACCTTTCCGGAGCTTCCTCCGGACCCTTCTTAAGTGGTCTCGTTCCCACGCTCTCGCTCAGAGCCCCGCTGCACCCCGCCTCTGTCTGCTCCCACGGGACGGGACTGCCCCCCCACCCCACCCCACCCTCCCGCCCGCCCTGCCCAGCACCCAGAATTGCTAGCCCCCTCCCTCCCCTGCCGGGGTGCACGGGAAGAGGCTTGCTCCTGGGCTGGCCCAGAACCCCCCTGGGGAATGAAACAGGTTGCAACTTGGAAAGGCTCTGCCCTGGCATGTTAGAGCCAAGGGGGGGGGGACTCCCCCGGGAAGTGTCCCCAGGGAGCTCCCAGACCTGGGCACTTCCAGCCCCAGAAGGCCAGCTGGCCTTGGGGCAGAGATAAGGCCCCTTCCAAGCCTGTGGGAGGAGAAGGGGAGTTTGTGAACCATGCAGATTGTCCCGCATTTCTTATCTCTCTTCCCCCCTCCCCACCTCCTGATGCCACCCTGCTTGCTGGGGCTGGGACTCTCTGCAGCGCAAGCTAGCTGAGCTGAGGCTGAGTCAAACCTTGTACCCCAGCTCTCACTGAGGAGGACAGGTGGAAATGAGATTTTTCAAGGAGGGGTGTCCTTTCTTCCTTTCCCCTATATTGGGGCATGCTGTGATTGCAGCCTCCGCTCCGTGGGAGATGCACCCCAGGCCTCACTGAGGGGTCTCCTTCCCATGCTGTGCTCTGCACAAGCCCTCCATGCGCCCTGCATGAGTCCCCCCTCCCCTTGAAGCAGCCCCCCCACCCCCAAAATAAGTTGGGCCTGTAAGGCTACAATGTAGCGCTCAACAATTCCTCTGCCATCACTCCCAGGTTCTGGCCTCTGCATCCTTTTGATAGGAGCTTCCTGGCGCTCAAGGAAGGCCGGCTGGCAGTACAGTCTGCCACCCTGTTTATACACAGCTCCCTGGACATGGCTGGGAGGGATGGGGAAGCCCCAACGTGCTTCCTGCCCTGGCCTGGGTCAGCCCTGCCACCCTGGAGCCACGTTCTGCCACCTGTCTGCCCCGCTAACTGTCCCTCCTGCAGGAGAGAGAGCTGATCAGGCAGGATGGGGGCAGCACCCCGCGACTGTGGGTGGCCAGGGCAGAGGCAGTGTCACCGCGGCCCCCGGGCTATGGCTCTGTCTCTCTGCAGACGGAGGGCGTGCGAGTGTCGGTGAACGTCCTGAACAAGCAGAGGGGTGCGCCTCTGCTCCTCGTGGTCCGCCAGAAGGAAGCGGTGGTGTCCTTCCAGGCGCCCCTAATCCTGCGAGGGCTGTGAGTAGGAAGGATCCAGGGGTCAGCGCCCCCAGCAGGGTTTTTTTCACCCTCCTTCCCTGAACCCAGCGGTGGGATCCAGCCAGAAGGCCAGGCCAGCCGGCTTAGAGCTGTGGGGCCGAATGAATGGGGCAGGACCAGGGGAGGTGGTGGAGATGGGAGGGGTGGGGGGAGATGCTGGTCAGGACAGTCACCCCGTCCTGACTCCCGGCTTCATCCCGACCCATAGATATCAGCGCAAGTACCTCTACCAAAAGGTGGAACGGACGCTGTGTCAGCCCCCAACCAAGAACGAGTCTGAGGTCCAGTTCTTCTATGTGGACGTGTCCACACTGTCTCCCATCAACACGACGTACCAGCTTCGGGTCAGCCGGATCGATGACTTTGTGCTCAGGTCTGCCCATGGGTAGGGGAGTGCCCGGGGACCCCAGGATGGGCTTCTTCCCCCCCTGCCCTGGAGTTACCGGGGTGCCTCTCTGCTCACTGCCCCCAGGACTGGAGAACAGTTCAGCTTCAATACAACCGCCGCCCAGCCGCAGGTCAGCACTGGGGCCAGGACATGGGGGACAGTGCACGGACTGTACCAGAAATGGCGCTGCCCTGGCCCAGGCCTCCCCTCCCCCCATAAACCCCCACCCCTGCCTCCACCTCCCCGCCTTCACAGGCCACACGGGCCCCTTTTGGGAGGGCCAGTGCCCATGCCCTCAGGACTTTCCCCCACGCACCCCTCCTTTACCCTCAGTTCTTCAAGTATGAGTTCCCGGAGGGCGTGGACTCGGTGATCGTCAAAGTGACCTCCAACACGGCCTTCCCCTGCTCTGTCATCTCCATCCAAGACATCCTGGTAAGCGGGCCGGTCCCCCGCGAGGGAGCAGGGTGGCTGCCGGGAAGGGCCAGGGCCCTTGCCCACCTGCCTCCCGCTCCCCCTGTAGTGCCCTGTCTACGATCTGGACAACAACGTCGCCTTCATCGGCATGTACCAGACCATGACCAAGAAGGCGGCCATCACCGTGCAGGTGGGCAGCGCACCTGCTCTGGGCCCCCGGGGGTGCAGGGCAGGGTGGGGGGGGTGGCAGAGTGCTGTCACTTCTCATTCTCCACGCAGCCGGGCTTGAGTCTTGCTCCTGTTCCCTGAGATCCTCCGGGATGATGGGCGCACAAGGCAGCCCCCCTCTGGCTGGGCCATTCCACTCACTTCAGCTCACTGGAGGGACCTGGACACGCCCTGGGTGAAGGCTGAATCGGGCTCCAGGCTGGGGTTACGTGTTTCCCTCCCAGCACCCCTGTGTGTTGGGTGGGGGGGGTCCCTGTTGGTTCCATGATAGGGGACACACATACACCTGCTTACTTGCCGGCAGTATGGGCTGAAGGTTCGAGCCCTGACCCCAGATGATCCCTGCTCTGCCTGCCCCCCCTCCCCCCCAACTGCCTGGTGCTAAGTGGGCCCTGGAGACTTCCTTAGGAATCATCCAGAGATGCTGTGGGGTGAACCATTAAGTCAGATAATATGCGGGGGGTGGGGGAGGGAGGAGCCTGCGCAGCGTCCTCTCTGGGCCCCAAGAAGGCCCGTGGCTGGTGCTCACCTTCCCGTCCCCCCCTCCCCCAGCGCAAAGACTTCCCCAGCAACAGTTTTTATGTGGTGGTGGTGGTGAAGACGGAAGACCTGGCATGTGGGGGTTCCCTGCCTTACTACCCCTTTGTGGAAGGTACAGCGTTTTTTTCTCTGTTTCGAAGGGGGTGGCAGCTGCACACCAGGCAATGCCAAGCCTGGACCCCTGGGGTTCCGCGTGCAGGGCCTGTGCTCCAGCCCCGCTGGGCTCTCCCCCTGGTGGGTAGGAGGAACTTCTGGGGCCTGGCCTGGAGGCCTCTGGGTAGCACGAGAGCCTTCCTTGATGACAGGTGGACCTGGGGGGTTCGGGGGTTCGGCCTTGGACTCTCCCTGGCCCGATCCCACCGACTCGAGCCAAGCTACGAACGACTGACTCCACGCGGCCACTTCCTCAGTCCATTTGACATTTCGCTTCCAGATGAACCGGTTGATCAAGGACACCGCCAGAAAACCCTGTCAGTGCTGGTCTCGCGGGCAGTCACGTGTGAGTGTGGGCGGCTGGGTGGCGGGCACTAGCCTCGGGCCTTTCCTCTCTGTGCCATGTCCCGTGTCTGGGGGAGGTGTGGTCTGAGCGGGAAGGGGTGTTCTGCTTCACCCCGGAAGGCCCCGAGGAGAGTTCAGGGGTGCAGGAAGCCGTGACTGTTTTAGGTCTTCCTCTACTGCTTTTTTGGGTTTTATTTTGGTTTCGGGGCCACACCCAGCGATGCTCAGGGGTTACTCCTGTCTCTGCACTCAGGAATCACTCTTGGCAGATTCAGGAGACTATATGGGATGTTGGGGATCGAATCCGGGTTGGCTGCATGCAAGGCAAGCGCCCTACCCACTGTACTATCGCTCCAGTTTCTCTCTGCCAGTTTTAAGAGTGTGACCTCCTGGGGCCTGTTTGCTCTGCTCTAGAACAGGGCAAGAGAGTCTGGCCCATGAGTCTCTCTAGGCTGTAAGGTTTGGTGTAAAATTTATAGGAAAGTTCTAGGCCCCTCAGCCACGCTCAGTAAATATTTACTAAGTGGCTAAAGGGAGCCTTTTGTAAACTGGAAAGTAAAATATAAAAATAAAGGACCGTGATGGGCGGAGGAAAGAAGTTTCCTTTTCTTGAATTATTTATTCAGCAAATATTGGCCAAGCACCTTCTGTGTATGCTTGGGTGCTATGCTGAAGCTGTGGTCCCCGGGGAGCTCCAGAGGGGTACAAGAGGCGGCGGGGGGACATGTGCAAAGCAGTGGACAGGTCACAGGCGTAGGACAGAGAAGGCTTCCTAGGCAACCTGTCCCTGAGCTGTGATGGAAGGTTAGGTCACTGTCACTGTCACTGTCCTCCCGTTGTTCATCGATTTGCTCGAGCAGGCCCAGTAACCTCTCCATTGTGAAACTTGTTGTTACTGTGTCTGGCATATCGAATACGTCACAGGGAGCTTGCCAGGCTCTGCCGTGCAGGCATGATACTCTCGGTAGCTTGCCAAGCTCTCTGAGAGGGGCGGAAGGTTAGGTCAGGATGGAGAATTTGGGATGGGAGGACCGGGGAAGGCTCTAACAGAGAGTGGGTGTCCAAGGCCAGCGTGGTTGCGGGCAGGGCAGAGAAGCCCCGCCTGACTCACCTTCCCGTCCCCTGCCCACAGCTGAGGCCTACGTCGGCGGGATGCTCTTCTGCCTGGGCATATTTCTCTCCTTCTACCTGCTGACTATCCTCCTGGCCTGTTGGGAGAACTGGAGGTAAAGTGGAACCGTGGCCCCCTCGGTGAGGGGCTGTGGGGCGAGGCCTTCCTTGGCAGTCTCTGAGGGGGGCCGGCTTTGTTTCCCACATGACCCACAGGGCAGAGTCTGGCTGGGAACCCCCTCGGCCCTCCTAGCTGGTTTTGTTTGTTTGTTTTTGCTTTTGGGGTCACACCCAGCGATGCTCAGGGGTTCCTCATGGCCCTGCACTCAGGAATTACTCCTGGCGGTGCTTAAGGGGGCGCCCTAGGAGATGCTGGGGATCGAACCCTGGTCGGCTGCATGCAAGGCGAACGCCCTACCCGCTGTGCTATCACTCCAGCCCTGGCCTCTGTGGCTTTAGGGGAGGAATGCCAGAACCACGAATGGGAGACAGGGGCCTGGGCAGAACGGGGAGCACAGGTCATTCGTACCATCCCCACCTCTGGTTTCCTCTGGATTCTGTCCCCACAGGCAGAGGAAGAAGACCCTTCTGGTGGCCATGGACCGAGCCTGCCCAGAAAGCGGTACTTAGGGGGTTGTAGGGTGGGGGGCAGGGCCATGTGCTTATGCTGTGTTTAAGGAGGGGAAACAGCACGTGGGATGCACAGTTGTAGCTTGCTCCCTTCGGGGTTGGAGGAGGAAGCTGGACCTGGTGGACAGTTCAGATGGGCAGCACCTCTCCCGGTGGCCGCCAGCCAGCTGTGGAGCGCCCTCCCGGGCCACCTGCATTTGCCCTGGGCTAGTGCCACTGCCTTCTGGGGGTCTCGGGGATCATTAACTTTGCATTCTCTCTCTCCCTCCTGCCCTCCCTCCTGCCTTCTCTCTCTGTCTTCCCTCCGCTTGGGACCTTGTCTCTCAGCCTCTCTCCTTGGTAAGCTGAGGTGCGGGGCGCAAGGCCCCCCGAGGAGTCCAGAGGGGGGAGGGAGGAAACTCGGGGCTGTCTGGGCAGGCTCATGCATCCTTGACCAGGGCGCTGGGGACGGCCCTGGGGAGGGGTGGTGGGAGGGATCTGGGCCGGGGAGGCAGGCTTGCTCTGTGCTCTGTCTCCTGTCTGGATTCTCCGCCGCCTTTGGACTCTCAGCCTCTCTCCATCCCCAGGACTCAGGAAATCTGGGCTTCTCCTCACAGGTCACCCCCGGGTCCTGGCCGATTCCTTTCCCGGAAGTTCCCCCTACGAAGCTTACAACTACGGCTCCTTCGGTAGGTGTCAAGGCCGGTGGCGGGTGGTGGCCTCACTGACCTTTGGGGCAGCACCCACGAGCCCTGGCTGATGGCCCAGCTCTAAGTGGTGGGCGGTTCCCCAGGCGTGGGTCAGCTGGCCCCTTTCCTGCAGTCCCGCCCCTCACCACCCCTTCCCCGTGCAGAGAACGGGTCTGGATCCACGGACGGGCTGGTGGACAGCACGGGCAGCGGGGACCTGTCCTACAGTTACCCGGGTGAGCGGGCAGGCCAGTGCAGGCGCGCTGTGGAGCGGGTGCTGACTGGTGACCCTGGTGGGCAGCTGCCTCTTCTGCCGGACGCTGGAAGCAGGGTCGGGCCTGCTGTGGTCTTCCCCCCCTTCTCCTCCCTCCCCACCCCTCCCCGGCCCCACGTCCCTGGTAACTTTCCCTTTCCTTTGAAGGGCACGACCAGTTCAAGCGGCGCCTCCCCTTTGGCCAGATGCGGCAGCTGTGCATTGCCATGGGTAGATGTGGGGTGGGGGTGCGGGCCGCTCTGCCAATCAGCTCCTGCCAGGGCCGGTGACTGGGGCCAAGAAGGCTCCAGGGCCAAAGGCTGCTTTGTGCATGGCTTCCCCGTCTAATGCCAGTAATTGCCAGTTCTGTGTCTTCTGAGAAGCAGGCCCCAAGCCCAGCGACCCGGCCGCCCCCAGACCAGATGTGTGGGAGGGTTCTGTGGCACCCTCCCAGCCTGGCCTCTGGCGGTAGGGCCTGCGGGTCGGGGCGCCGTGCTCTGCCCCCTTGGGCCTTGGGGCCTTTGGTCAGGAAGGCTCACAGAAGGAAACTTCTGGAAGCTCAAGACCAGAACAGGGCCCGGGCCGCGGGGCCGTCTTCCAGGAATCATCTCTGCCTGGCTGCCCTGCTGGCGCCCCGGGGCTCTGCCCAAGTCTTCTCAGAACCCACAGGGCTGCGCCCTCCTAATCAGCCTTAGTCTCAATCCAGTCCTGCTGCTTATTCCCGGGCCGGGGTGTGCGCGGTGCCCTGCACACCCCTGCTCGGTGCGGGGAGGCAAGGTCGGAGCAAGGCTCGGAGGGCCTGGCAGAGTCCTGCACCCTCCTCCCAGGGCCTGAGCTCACCTCCGACCCCAGCCGGAGCGCACAGTTGGCCTCTTCCTGTTGCCTAGTAATTGTGACAACTGCCGGGGGGCCTGGGGGAGGGAACGGACGTGGGATCTGTGCCCATCAGGCAGCCCTTTCTTCCCCCCGCCGCACCCCCCCCACCCAGAGCGCTCCCCGGACCCCGTGGGCACGCGACCCCGCCTGGACTCCATGAGCTCCGTGGAAGAGGATGACTACGACACGCTGACCGACATCGATTCCGACAAGAACGTCATCCGCACCAAGGTGGGCCCGCTGGCGTGCTGGGGTGGGGGGCGGTGGGCCAGCCCCTGCCCCACCAAGTTCTGGCCTGCAGGGGGGAGAGCCCCCTTGTCCCCCCCCACCCCCCAGCGGCCCCCAGCATGGGGCTCACTCCAGCTTCTCCTCAGCAATACCTTTACGTCGCCGATCTGGCACGCAAAGACAAGCGCGTCCTGCGGAAGAAATACCAGATCTACTTTTGGTGAGGACTGGGGCGGGACTGCCCGCCTGGTACTGCCCCCAGGACCTCCTGAGGTCCTGCGCTGCACCCTCACCTGCTCACCTGCACCCCCCCCTTTTCCCCAGGAATATTGCCACCATCGCTGTCTTCTACGCACTTCCTGTGGTGCAGCTGGTGATCACGTACCAGACGGTGAGGACACAGGGCTGGGTGGTCTTCCCCTTCCCTGTCAGGTTCTGGGACACCCCCCAGAACCTCCTCCTGGGGCTCCGGAACCAGCACTGCCCCAGGGTCGGCGGCCTGGGTCCAGACCCCACTCTGCCGGCACAGCTGGGTGACCTTCAGCGTGTCCCTCTCTGTCCCTGAGCCCAAGACCAGCCTGCGGCCAGGCCCTGGACGGGGCCTTCCCAGGGTGCTCGACCCGATAACGGGAACCGAAAGTTCTCACACTTCGAGTCTTGGTTTCCCTTCTCTTTTCTCTTTCCCCACCAGGGCAGGCGCCAGGGTTTTCAGCAAATGTGGGGCGGGCAGTGATTGTGCTCGAAGGAGCAGGGGACCCAGGGGAGAGTGGGGAGGGCGGCGTGGGTGGCAGGGACAGTGGCCTTCAGCAACCCCCTCCCTGTCCCTGCCCCCGCCCCCGCTGCAGGTGGTGAATGTCACGGGGAACCAGGACATCTGCTATTACAACTTCCTCTGTGCCCACCCGCTGGGCAATCTCAGGTGGGGGCGTCCCCCCACCCCTGTGAGCTGCGGGGGAGGGGGGTGCGGAGGCCAGGGGCTCTGTGGGCGCCCGCCTAGGTGGGAAGGAGGCCATGTGTCCCCTCTTGCCCCCTGCAGCGCCTTCAACAACATCCTCAGCAACCTGGGGTACATCCTGCTGGGGCTGCTCTTCCTGCTTATCATCCTGCAGCGGGAGATCAACCACAACCGGGCGCTGCTGCGCAACGACCTCTACGCGCTGGTGCGCTGTGCGGCCTCGACCCCCGTCCCCAGCCCCGCGCCGCCCCGCAACCCCCTCACGGACCCCTGCGGGGTCCCTCCTTCCTCCCCGCTTTCTCACCACTCTCTCTCCCGCCCTTCCTCCCCGACAGGAATGTGGGATTCCCAAACACTTCGGCCTGTTCTATGCCATGGGCACTGCCCTGATGATGGAAGGGCTGCTCAGTGCCTGCTACCACGTCTGCCCCAACTACACCAACTTCCAGTTCGGTGAGAAGCCGGCCTGAGTCTGACACCCTCTCCGTGGGGGTGGTGGGAGGTGGAGGGTGAGAGGCATCCTGAACTCACTTCCTGTGTCTGGGGCAAACCCTAGGTATTGAGCACAGGGGTATCAGGGACTCAGAAGTGACTGCCAGCCTGCCAGCTGCTTTTGGCTGCCCAGGAGTTTGGCCAGGCCTCTCTTGGACTCTGTCCTGCTCTGTAGTTCCCTGCTGAGACTTAGGATACTTGTCCTGTTAGCAGCTATGTCCATGCGTGCAATCCCAGACTCAGCCTGAGTGGGCGTGCCTGCTGTTCTGCCACGCCCCATCCTAGGCTCTGGGCGTGTCTGTAGCTCTGGCCACGCCCCATCCTAGGCTCAGTGGGCGTGCCTGCAGCTCTGGCCACGCCCCCATCCTAGGCCCAGTGGGCGTGCCTGCATCTCTGGCCACGCCCCATCCTAGGCTCAGTGGGCGTGCCTGTAGCTCTGGCCACGCCCCCATCCTAGACTCAGTGGGCGTGCCTGTAGCTCTGGCCACGCCCCCATCCTAGGCTCAGTGGGCGTGCCTGCAGCTCTGGCCACGCCCCCATCCTAGGCTCTGGGCGTACCTGCAGCTCTGGCCGTACCTGCAGCTCTGGCCACGCCCCATCCTAGGCTCTGTGGGCGTGCCTGTAGCTCTGGCCACGCCCCCATCCTAGGCTCTGTGGGCGTACCTGCAGCTCTGGCCACGCCCCATCCGAGGCTCTGTGGGTGTGCCTGTAGCTCTGGCCGCGCCCCCATCCTAGACTCGGTGGGCGTGCCTGCAGCTCTGGCCACGCCCCCATCCTAGGCTCAGTGGGCGTGCCTGCAGCTCTGGCCACGCCCCATTCTAAGGCTCAGGGAGTGTGCCTTATGGCTCTGTCCATCCTAGCCTCAGTGGGCGTCCCTACAGCTCACAGCCACATTCCCTATTCCCTATTCTAGACACCTCGTTCATGTACATGATTGCTGGGCTGTGCATGCTGAAACTCTACCAGAAGCGGCACCCGGACATCAACGCCAGTGCCTACAGCGCCTACGCCTGCCTGGCCATCGTCATCTTCTTCTCCGTGCTGGGCGTGGTGAGGCCCCTCTCGCCTTGCTCACTGACACACCCCTTTTCATCTGCAGTCGAGATCCCTGTTCTGTTCCCTCCCTGAGCCCTGGGTGCCCCAGCATGGCCTTGACCTCTGGAGAGGAAGGAGGTGCTGTGGGAACAGCTGCCTCAGCTCCTCCTCACTTCCTGCCCTCCCTCCCCCCAACACCTCCCCTCCCCCTCCCCCCCTGCCCCATACCCAGGTCTTTGGCAAAGGGAACATGGCATTCTGGATCGTCTTCTCGGTCATCCACATCATCGCCACCCTGCTGCTGAGCATTCAGCTCTATTACATGGGCCGCTGGAAGCTGGGTGAGGGCCTGCCCAGGGTGACGGCCAGGGAGGGGCTGACTGGCATTGAGGCTGGGGATGGGGAGATGCGCACCCACACGAGACTTTGGGCTTCAGCCCCCCCCCTTGTCCTGGGGGTAGGCGTGCCCTCCCCCTGACGTGCTCTGGTCAGCAGACTGGAGTGATGGTTCCCACGCTCTTCAGCACCACCCTCTCTTACAGACTCAGGCATCTGCCGGCGCATCCTGCACGTGCTCTACACAGACTGCATCCGGCAGTGCAGCGGGCCCCTCTACGTGGTACCTGCCCAGCTCCCCAGCCCTCCCGCCTCCGGCCGCTCTGTTTCCGCCTGTTAGAGCTGGCGCCCAGGATGGGGGTGGGGATCGGCTGACTCGGGCCTTCTTCCACTTCTCTCCCTGTCTCTCCCCCTCTCAGTCCTCGTGTCTCTGCTTCCCTCCAGGACCGCATGGTGCTGCTGGTCATGGGTAACATCATCAACTGGTCACTGTGAGTCTGGCCGTTGTCTCTCGTAGCCTGGCGGGTTGGATAGCTGGGGACGAGGCCAGCTGCTGGCTGCTTGGGGGGCTTCTGAGCAGCAGGCTTGAGAAATAGGTTCGGGGGGAGAGCTGCTGACAAGGAGAGGTGTAAGCACCCGGGGTTCTAGAGCATTCTGAGGGCCTCCGAATGAGGCCCTGCATCCTATTAAAATATGGTCGAGATGAGGAGAGCGCATCCTGCTCTCAGCCCATCCCCACTTCACCAGGCCCTTCTACCCAGGGCTGCCTACGGACTGATCATGCGCCCCAATGACTTCGCCTCCTACCTGTTGGCCATCGGCATCTGCAACCTGCTGCTTTACTTTGCCTTCTACATTATTATGAAGGTAGGGGGGGGCCTGGGTGCACGCCCACTCTCTGGGGGGGGCGGGAGGGAGAGGGCACTGCCTGCCTGGCACAGCTCAGTGAGAAGTTTTCTGCACATCTGCCTATAGTGGTGAAGTGGGTGGAGCAGGTGGGGGGGGGGCTGCTCCCTGGAGCCAGCTGCACCCCAGAGCCCTTCCGCACTCCGAGACAAGCCCCAGAGACCTGGGGCCATTCAGGTTCAGTCGGGAAGGGTTGAAAGGAGATGGTGGTGGTGGATGCTTCGGGGGGCCGGGTGTTCCCTGAGAACCCCCATGTTTTCTGGGGTGAGAGGAAGCCCCGGTGCAGCCCTCTCTGGTGGCAGGCCCAGGCTGCTGGCACACGCACAAGCTGACGCTGGCCATGGGCGGCAGACGGTGGGGCGCATCCCCGAGGGGCTGGAGGCAGCCGTGCAGGATACCTGGGGTGCTAGGCACTGGGGCTGGCCAGACTCGAGGCCAAGGCTCAGCCCTCAGGCTGCTCCCCATCCTCCTGCAGCTCCGGAGCGGGGAAAGGATCAAACTCATCCCTCTGCTCTGCATCATCTGCACCTCCGTCGTCTGGGGCTTCGCGCTCTTCTTCTTCTTCCAGGGACTCAGCACCTGGCAGGTGAGTGGCCGCCACTCAGCGGAAGGCCCCACCTCCTGTGTGCAACCCTGCCTGCCTCTCCTCGAGGGCTCAGTGCTCAGGCACAGGCCTGCATCGGCTTCCCAGACAGCCGTGGGTGCCTGGGGCAGCTGGACCGTGAGTGGCACAGTTGAGCTTTGCAGCCGGACATGTTACTGGGTGCCCTTGCCCCTGGGGACAGGCCTCTGTCCTGTGAACGGGCCTAAGTCTAGTATAGTGTCTCCCTGTGCGGTGCTGCTCACGTAGCTGGAGGGGAGACTGGTTCTGGACTTGCCGGTTACAGGAGGATAGAGGACATCAAGGAGAGGGGAAGGGGCCACTCAGGAGGCCAGTGCTGAAGTGGTATCTGTGAGTCAGGGAGGCTTTCTGGAGGAGGCAGCCTTGCTCATGGCCTTTGAGCCTTGGGTGAGAGGGAAAATTCCAGATACTGTGACCTGAGAGGAGAGAGAAAAACAGATGAGGCAGGTTTAGCTAGAGTGCATGAGCCAGTTTAGACTGAGCTTGCTGGTGGTGGGCATGTCAGTCTGGTCATCTCGGTGGCCTGGGCCAAGTTGGAGGACCTGAGTCTCCTTTGTTATGGCCTTTGTCACCAGCAGAGGGCAGAGTCCCAGGAGCCTGTCCCCTGGAGTCTCCGCTTTGTAAAGAAAGGACTGCAGGAAGGAGGAGGCGTGGCTAGAGGGAGGGGTAGGGCAGTGGTGGGGGCGGGCCCTGTGGAGGGGTGGGGCTTATGGAAAGGGGCGGGGCGGTGGTAGGAGGTTGGTGATAGGCGGGGCTGGCTGGAGGGGTGGGGCGCTAGGAGGAGGCGGGGCCGACAGCTGCAGTCTCTGCAAGAGATCTGGAACCAAAGTCCAAGTCTTTTCTTTTGCTTTTTGGGCTTCACACCTGGCGATGCACAGGGATTACTCCTGGCTCATGCACTCAGAAATTACTCCTGGCGGTGCTCGGGGGGGACCATATGGGATGCTGGGAATCGAACCCGAGTCGCCTCATGCAAGGCAAACGCCCTACCTGCTGTGCTATCGCTCCAGCCAGCCCCACAAAGTCCAAATCTTAAGGTGGTGGGCGCCGTGAAGGGGGCCAGGAGGAAAGGGCCAGGGCTGGGCCACTCAGCCCCTCTCCACCTCCTCCTCAGAAAACCCCCGCCGAGTCCCGGGAGCACAACCGCGACTGCATCCTACTGGACTTCTTTGACGACCACGACATCTGGCACTTCCTCTCCTCCATAGCCATGTTTGGGTCCTTCCTGGTAGGCACGGTAGGGTTGGGGTCGAGGTGGCGGGTCGACGCGTCCCAGACCTGACTCGATGTTCTCCTGCCAGGTGTTACTGACTCTGGACGACGACCTGGACACGGTGCAGCGGGACAAGATCTACGTGTTCTAGCTGGGGTGGCCGCGCTTTACTCCTGGGGCCTACGGGCCCCACTGCCTCCCGCCCAGAACCTCGGCGGCGGAGCAAGGCAAGGACTGTGCCTCCCGGCCTGCTGCCAGCTGCTGGTGGTGGTGTGGCTCGACCCGGGACACTTTCTGAGCAGGGACTGGGGCCTCGCAGCTGCCCCTGGACAGGGAGGAGCCTGGTCCCTCGAGCCCCAGCCACTGGCTACATTGCTGCTGTCTTCTCAGTGTTGGGACCCTAGGTCCCCTCTGCGGCCTCTCTCTGGCCCTTCTGCATGGGAAGGAGGGAAGTGTCGCCCTGCCTGTCTCACGGCTCACATGCTGCCCCTCCTCGCCCTGGCCTTCAGCCAGAGACCCCCAGCCCTTTCTTCTTCCTGGACTCCAAAACCCTGCCCTGGCACCTGTGAGCCTGTCCCGCTCATCTGGGCATGCCTGGCTTCCACCGTTGCCCACTCCAGCTCGCCAGGATGGCGGGAGGCGTTGGTCAGTGGGGACCAGCCAGCTGGTGCCAGCCTATTGGTGCTAAGGTCTGCGAGGGGCCCCGGGCAGTGCAGCCCCCCCACTCAGATCAGCAGAGGGGGCTCCAGCTAGCCTCCGAGAGCAAGGGGCTGGATTCAGAGGTCATCTTCCTCAGAGCCAGAGGGGAGAACAACTCACCCTTTTCCTTCCTTTTTCTCTCAAGACCGTTAGTCCTGCCAAGCCCCAGCAGGGGGCCTCTCAGTGCCATTGACGCTGCCCAGGAAGGTTCAGGTGACAAGAGCTGGGGCCTGCAAGGGGGCCCAGCCCTGCGGCAGCCCCCACGGCCAAAGGCACCCAGTGCCTGTCTGAGGAAGGAGTGCGGAGCTGCAGGCCCTGGGCGGCCTCCCGCGAGGACCAGGGCTGGCTCCCGCCGTCTCGGATTTTCCGCCAGTTTCTGGGGCAGCCACGTGCGCGCGCACACACAGAACTTCGGAGTTTACATGGACTGGCCTGAGTTCTGGGCGTCCCACCAGAACGGGCCCCTCCTGGTCCGTTCCAGATGCCAAGGCGGGGGCGGGGGGGAGGGGGCCTCTGCCTCCATGTGTTTTATTCCCCCCCCATGTGTTTTTATCGCACTCCCTGGGGCAGGGAGAGGAGGTGGGTCTGGATTCCCCCTCGGAACTCTGCTCATGCTACGGGCGCATCTGCGTTTTCTACGAATGAGTCTGCATTCAATTAAAGAAGCAACCAGGTGCATTTCTGGGCCGCTCGTTTGCTCTGCCTTTCTGGTGGGGGTGTTGGAAGAACCCTGCTGCCCTGTGCCCCTGCTGTGGACTGCAGCCAGTGAGTCGAGGGCACAGAGCAGGCAGTCTCCAAAAACGATTGGTTTCGGTGTTTGCTTTTCCCCCCTGTGGGGTGAGAGCATGCTCCCAGGCACTGCTCCAGCCACTTTTGGAGATACACAGCCCGCCGGTCCCCCCAGGGGCTGGGGACCACCTGGACCTTCGTTGCTCCACGTCAGCATGGGAGAGAGCAAACTCAGGGCCATGTGCATGCCAGCGTCTTGCGCTGGCTCCCAGCCCCAAGAAGGCGGCGTTGTGGAATAAACCTTGAGGATTCAGCGAGCTCAACGGGAGAACATTTTGGGGGAGGCCAGGAAGGCGGTGAACCCAGGACCCAGCTCCCTTTCCGGCTTCCTCCGCAGCTGCCACTAGGGGGCACCATAGTTCTTTGCGCCTGCCTGGCCACCGAAGCAAAGTGCTAAACCTGGCAAGGGCGTTTCCTTTCTGGGGACTCCCCCCCCCCCCCACGTGTGTTGTGTGTGTGTGTGTGTGGTGGGTGTGTATTGTGAGATGGGTGTATGTGTGTGAGATGGGTGTGAGTATGTATGTGTGTGAAATGGGTATATATGTGAGATGGGTGTGAGGTGGGTGTGGGTGTGTATGTGAGATGGGTGAGTGTACATGTGGGCATGTAAGATGGGTGTGTGTGTGTGCATGTGGGGATATGTGTGAATGGGTGTGTGAAATGGGTGTGGGGTGTGAGTGAAATGGGAGGTGTGTATGAGATGTGTGTGTGTGTGTGAGATGGGTGTGGGTGTGCGTGTGTGGGAGATGGGTGTGTGTGGGGGGGAGATGGGTGTGAGTGTGGGTGTGTGGGAGATGGTGTGAGTGTGAGATGGTATGCGTGTGGGTGTGTGCCAGCACAGGCGGCTCAGAGACGCCCCCTTTACCCGGTAAATCTCTGGATCCAGGTAGAAGATGGTGGAGCGTTTCCTACCTGGGTGTTGGAGTCCAGGGCAGTGGGAGCTCTTCTTGGAGGGAGGAGGGAGGGCCTCAGGTCCCTGCGCCCCAGGACTGCCTCTCCCATGCCAATCTGCCTCTCTGAGGCTAGTCCTGCCGTGCTATGCTCTTAGCGTCCCCTAGGGAGTGGTGTTACCCACCTTGGGAAAAACTACCCTGGAGCCCCTCTAGGTGGGGAGGTGCTCCCAGTTCCTCAAACCCCACCTCAGCTAAAGCAAGTCAACTGCGCAGGGTACAGCTGGGAGTGTGACAGCCTTTCCCATGGGGGTGTCCAGACCCCTGCCACTTGACTGAGGACCCCTGAGCCTCAATTTTTTTTTAATATGGCAAGTGGGTACAGTCACTGCACTCACACATTTTATTTTTTTGCATTTTTTGGGTCGCACCCAGTGATGCTCAGAGGTTACTCCTGGCACTGCATTCAGAGAATTACTCTTGGTGGGGCTTAAGTGACCATCTGGGACGCTGGGGATCGAACCTGGGTCAGCTGCATGCAAGGCAAATACCCTATACCCTATTCAATGTACTCCAGGACTCACTCTCTCTCTCTCTCTCTCTCTCTCTCTCTCTCTCTCTCTCTCTCTCTCTCTCTCTATCCGTTGTAACCTTTTTGTTTGTTTGGGAGGCCACACCCACAGTGCTCAGGATGTCTTCCTGGCTCTGTGCTCAAGCATCACTCCCAGCAGGGCTAGGGATTGAACCCGGGTCTGCCGTGTGCAAACCCTACTGTTCCCCAGAGCTGAGTCTGTTTTTTTGTTTTGTTTTGTTCTGTTTGGGGGGGGTCATACCTGGCCATGCTCAGGGCTTACTCTGTCCCTGCAGGCAGGACACTCCTGGCCGACTCGGGGACCCTATGGGAGGCAGAGGGATCCAGCCAGGATCCATTGCAAGCCATCACCACCACGGGCTGTGCTATTATTGCCTTGACCCCCCGAGCTGTGAGTCCGAGAGGACATTGGCCAGGTGGCTGGCACGTGGCATCTCTTCGAATAGATGGGTCCCGACTTCCTAGAGCTAAAGGTCCAGGACGGGAGCGTGGCCGGGGTGTCCAGCGCCAAGCCTCAGGGCCACATCCCCGGGCCCGTGGCCTTCTCCCCTCCCCTGAACCCCATGGGCAGGGAACGGGGGTGAAGGAGCAGCCCCAAGCGCGCGCGCGCGCGCCGGGGAAGCCGTCGTGGGAGCGTGGCCAGGGTGTCCAGCGCCACGCCTCGGGGCCACGTCCCCCGGCCCCTAGCCCTCTCCCCTCCCCTGAACCCCAGGGGCAGGGAACAGGGGTGAAGGAGCAGCCCCAAGCGCGCGCGCGCCGGGGAAGCCGTCGTGGTCCTGCCCTTAAAAGGCCTTTCCCGCGCCGTTCCCGCCGCCGGCGCGCCCCGCCCCGGCCCGCTGCATCCCCAAAGCATGCAGGGAATGTCTCGGGCCGCCCCGGGCCGGCAGCTCCAACTTGGTGTCTTTCCCCAAATATGGAGCCTGTGCGGAGCCCCTGGGGGGCGGGGGGCGGAGAACGGGGTCCGGTTCCTCCGGCCGGGCGGGGGCCGCGGGGCGCGCGCGCGGGGGAGGCTGACATCACCGCGCGCAGCCCTTTAAACCCCTCACCCCCGCCGGCCAGCGCCCGTCCCGTCCGGCGTCTGCGTCCCAGACAACGCGCCTCTTCTCCGCAGCACCCAAGCAGCCTTGTAAGTGCCTCTGTCCGCGGGCTGACAGCCCGGCTGGGTGACCGGGTGTCAGCGGGCGCTCTGGGACCCTCTCAGCATTCCCCATCTGCAGATGGACGCCCCCCGCCCCCACTTGCAGGGCTAGCCCCAGCTGGACGGGAGGGACTCCTCCTGCCTGGCCTGGCCGGGAGGGCTGGCACCCCAGAATGAAGGCTGAAGGCTGGTGCCGGTGGGCAAGAGGGAGACTTTGCTGCCAGTCCACACCAAAGTGTGGCTTTGTGTGCACGCATGTGTGTGCGTGTAGGTGTGCATGAGTGTGTGTACATGTTTGTGTATGCGTGTCGGGCCGGAGGTGGTCCTCCTCTGGGAGGATGGCCAAGGGGTTGAACCACCAGGGATGGAAACCCAGGGATACCTTTCCCTGGAGTCCACGGGGGCCGGGGATGGGGTTACCGGGGGAGGGTGTGGTCCCCCATTCTGGACACGATGAAGGGGTCACTCCAGGGAGGCGCTTTGGAGTGGTGGCGGGGCAGTCTGGACAGGATGTGACTACCTCTGTCCCTCCTTGAGGATCTCTTCCGGGGGGGTCCCAGTGAGTGGGGCGCTCTTTGTCCCCGAGCCTGAGCTTGAGGTTCTCTTGCTGAGGGCCCAGCCCTACTGGGGGCGTTTCCTGCTGCTCGGTGCCCAGTGCCTGTTTGCAGCTGGTCTCCAGCGGATGGCGCAGGGCTCAGGCTGTCCCTGGAGTCCCACCTGGGGCCATGAATGGCACCCCCCTTCCCTGCCCCACCCTGCTCCCCTGCAGCTCAGGTGGCTGGGGAGGTCTTCCTCAGCAATTGCCTCCACTGTCAGACTGGCTCCAGATGGAGCCTTGCGTGGGAGGGACATTCCACCCACCCACCTTGCTCCACCAGATTCCTCTTATTTCCCCTGGGGCCCACTGGGATGGGGGCTGCTGCTCCTCCTGCATGTCTCCACCAGGGTCCCCCAACTGTGTTTCTGGGGGACTCCTTGCAGGGGACAGAGCCCAGAGCCTCACACTCGCACTCAGGGTCTCTCCAGCTGACTTCCCAGCAACTGACCCAAGAGTCTTTGCTGTCTGTTTTCTTGGGGGAGGGGTACAGGCCAGGAGTCCCGTGGCTTGTGCTGGGGTCCAGCTTGGGGCTCCCACACGCAGTGCCCTGAGCCGCCCCCAGCCCTGGCTGTGCTGTGGGTGGTACCCTCTTCCATACCCACCTTCATGCCCCCAGGAGTGCGGGCCAGGCGGGGGGCTGGTGCCAGCTGATGTATAGGGGAGTCCTGGGATGGCTGGAGAGGGAGGGTGAGACCCCATGGGCTGCTGAGAGAGCGGTATCCGCGGACCCCGGCCAGCCCTGCCCCCGGCCAGCCCTGCCCGATGTGAGGATAGATGTGACACCATGTCTTGGGAGACTTTCAGTGTCCTCAACCAGGGAATGTGCTAGAAAGGGATAGAGGTGGATGGGATGGGCCCATGGCAAGGCCAGCTCCCACATCCCCAGGACCCCCCTCTGCACTCGGGGTCAAAGGGCTAGTGTTCTGAGGGGCACTGCTAAAGGACAGGCCTCAGCTGGCCCTACTTGTGGTAGAGAGCACTGTCCTCAGCTGGTGGGAGCAGAGCTCAGCACTGTCCACTGTCCATTCTCTGCTGCCCACTGTCCACACACCGGAAGGTGGGCGCGGGGCCCTTTGGGCCATGATGTTTGCAGGGGTGCAGGGGGTCGGCACTGGAGGACAACCCCCATCCTCAGTCACTTGCTCCCTCCCACCCTGGGACCTCCGAGGCCAGGGGATGGCCTCCCTGGGTCTCCCTCTAAGGGCCACCTCAGGGGATCCCAGAGAGTCCACGCCTGCCCCTCAGCCCCCAGCGGCCCTGTGTTCCCAGCAGCAAGCTCTGCAGTCGTGACCAGGCAGCATCTCACCAGCCCGGGAGAGCGGGGCTGAGACCTCACAGGGTGCTTGGAGGATCCTGCCTCGGGGTGACTCAGCTACTGCAGTGACAGATGGGGGCCCGGCCAGGCCTCTGTGCGGCTCCTCTGAGGAGAGGCAGCGCCATGGCCTCAGCCCTGTCAGGGGCTTGGTCTGAGGCGCCTCAGCTGTGGCTGACCTGGGGTCATGGGCATCTGGGCTGGAGGGTCAGGGTAGGGCTGACCTGGACAGACAATGTGACCTCTTCTAAAAGCCCTGTGCAGGACCTCTGTGGCCAGTATGGCAAAGAATCTTCTAGATCAGGGTGGCGAGCCTAGTCCAGAGGCCAAAGGCCACCTGCTGCCCGTCCAGTAAATGGAATTTTGATGGAGGCGCTTCTCTGTGGGTGCGAGGGGTCTGTTCCCTGTACCCTCAAGCCCAGAAACATGTGTTCTTGGCTTTTTATTTGTTTGGGGGCCACACCTAGAAGTGCTCAGGGGTTACTCCTGGCTCTGCACTCAGGGATCACTCCTTGCCATGCTCAGGGACCCTCTGGGATGCTGGGTATCGAACCCGGGTCGACCGCTCCCCACTGTCCTATGGCTCCGCCCCAAGACATGCTGTTGAGTCGTCTGTGAACCGTGTGTGCTGAGTCCTGCTCCAGGCTACCAGAGAGGTCCTTCCCCGGCCCCACATCTGAGGGCGTCCCCAAAGGAGGCCATGGCAGGAGAGCACAGGGAGGCCTGTGGAGGGGAGACACATATCTGGTGGGATCAGGCCGGCGGGGACACTCTCTCTTTCTGTCTCTTTTTTTTTTGCTTAAAAAATTATTAGTAGTAGTAGTATTATTAGTATTATTATTATTTTGCTTTTTTTGGGTCACACTCAGCGATGCTTAGGGGTTCCTCCCAGTTCTTCACTCAGGAGTCATTTCTGGCGGTGCACTGGGGACCCTATGGGATGCTGGGGATCGAACATGGGTCGGCTGCATACAAGGCAAATGCCTTACCTGCTGTACTATCTCTCTGGCCCCTTTTTGGCCTTTATTTTTTGGGTGGGGGTCAAATTCCTCCTGGCTCTGCACTCAGGAATTACTCCTGGCAGTGCTCCGGGGACCTTATGGGATGCCGGGGATCGAACTCAGGTTGGCTTTGTGCAAGGCAAACGCCCTCCCTGCTGTGCCACTCCAGGCCAGGGCCACTCTCTGAGCTCTTCTCCTGTCTCGGCCGTAGCTCTCCCCAACATGGCCAACAAGGGCCCCTCGTATGGCATGAGCCGCGAAGTGCAGTCCAAGATCGAGAAGAAGTACGACGAGGAGCTGGAGGAGCGGCTGGTGGAGTGGGTCCTTGCGCAGTGCGGCTCTGATGTGGGCCGCCCCGACCGCGGGCGCCTGGGTTTCCAGGTCTGGCTGAAGAATGGTGTGGTGAGTGGGGGTCTGCCTGGTGGGGAGAGGGGCCGGGTCAGGCCGGGGAGCCCAGTGCCCACCTGCAAGCTGTGTCGGCAGATCCTGAGCAAGCTGGTCAACAGCCTGTACCCTGATGGCGCCAAACCTGTGAAGGTGCCCGAGAACCCCCCGTCCATGGTCTTCAAGCAGATGGAGCAAGTGGCACAGTTCCTGAAGGCCGCGGAAGACTATGGGGTGACCAAGACCGACATGTTCCAGACGGTGGATCTCTACGAAGGTGTGAGATGGGGGTCTGTGGGAGAGCAGCCGGTGGGGGGGGGAGGCCGTACATGCTGTCAGGGTGCCTGGGATGCTGTGCGCTCTGGCCCGCACTGGGTCTCTTTTCCGGGAGGAGTTGGGCGGCCCCGTCTCCGAGTCCTGGTTATCCGACCCCGTTCCTCCACCAGGCAAAGACATGGCAGCCGTGCAGAGGACTCTGATGGCACTGGGCAGCCTGGCAGTGACCAAGAATGACGGACACTACCGCGGGGACCCCAGCTGGTTCATGAAGTAAGTGGGGGCCCGGGTGAGGGCAGTTATGGGAGCTGGCAGATCCTGGGCCATATGCCCAGACCTCCTGGGTGGTCCCCTGAGCACCACCAGGAGTGACCTGCATGCAGAACAGGAGTAGGATGAGGTTACAATTAGGCTCAGTACACAGCCCTGAGCACCACCCGCAAAAAAAAAAAAAAAAAAAAAGTGGCACTCAGGGAAGGGGGCTTTTGCCTGAGGGAGGCAGGTCTGGGCTGTGGGGAACAGAGCCTAGAGGGTAAACGAGGCTGGGGGCGGGGCAACAGACCCCGAATGCCCCCACCCCTTCCCTTTGGGTCCTCAGGGGCTCCTTCTGGCCAGTACAGTGGGGCCAGGGGTGGGGTTGGAGAGTCAAGGAATCAGGACGAACACGGGGTCAGGAGTGATGGGGGTCAGGACTGACAAGGGGTCAGGAGTGATGGGGGTCAGATCAGGAGTGATCGGTGATCAGGACCAACAAGGTCAGGACTGTAGGGGACCCAGGGCTGTCGGGCTCAGGGCTGTCAGGTTCAGGGCTGTTGGAGTCAGGGTTGTCCCGGGCAGGACTGTCAGGCTCAGAGCTGTCGGGCTCAGAGCGGTCGGGCTCAGGGCTGTTGGGGTCAGGGTTGTCCCGGGCAGGCCTGTCAGGAAAGGGCTGTCGGGCTTAGGGCTGTCGGGGCAGGGCTGACGGGCACCCTGGCTCCGCAGGAAGGCGCAGGAGCACAAGCGCGAGTTCACAGAGAGCCAGCTGCAGGAGGGCAAGCACGTCATCGGCCTGCAGATGGGCAGCAACCGGGGCGCCTCGCAGGCGGGCATGACGGGCTACGGCCGGCCACGCCAGATCATCAGCTAGAGCCCAGCTGGCCGCCGCGCCCGCCGCCGCCTCACCCACAACCTCCGCAGCCGAGGCCGAGCTTGAGGCTAGTCACCGGGCAAAGGTGACAACTGCACCTGGCAGCGCCGCACCCCCAAGTCCTCCCCCAGCACTGCGCCGGCTCCCCCCAGCCCCCCCACGCCCGCTGCCTCTCTCCCTCCTGGGCTCGGCAGGGACGGGCGGGGGGCCGCCTGGCCGGAGCAAGTCCACTGTCCTTGGCTGCCAAGTACCCGCTGAAGAAGACCCGACTCGACCTCCCCCCTACTATTTTTTTGCTGGAATTTTTTTTTGGGGGAGGGCTTGAAATTCAAAAGAGAAAAAAAATATAGATACAGTTGTTTCTCAGGCCTGGCTGGCAACGTGGCATGTCTCTTCTGTGTGGGTGCAAGGGGCGGGCGGGGCACCCTCGTGTTGGGGGGGGTGGGAGGGGGAGGGTGAGGAGGGGCGGCGTCATGGGAGGCAGGGTGCTGAGGAGCGGAGTTGGGGCACAGTGGCTGAGTGCAAGGTTTTTATTTTGGAAAAGCTGTGCAGAGAAAAACCCAACAAAAGTTGCTGTGAAAAGAGGAAATCCACTCATAAGCGTTAAAAAAAACAATTCGAGTCCACCACGATGCCCCGGCCGGGCGGGCAGCTGCCTCGGGGGAGGACATGTCCCTGAGCACGGTGGAAGGAAGACAGATGGACGCAGGGGGGCCCATAGTGGGCCCGGCCCTGCCGCAGCCTGGGCCTGGCAGGCCCACACCTGATCCGGAGCATCACGGTGACCTTCAGGAGGAGGTGGCGGCAGGTGGAGGAGCAGCGGCTCCTCGCACCTGGGACGGCTCTGGGCTGGCCACACCTGTGTGTCCCAGTGTGGCTGAGGCGGGACGTCTCGACTCTGCGGGCCTCGGGCGGGATGCATGGGGCCTCACAGTCTCCAGGCCGCACCCCCTTCTCGGGCTGGGTCCCATGCCCAGGGCTGAGCGCCACCCCAGCAGTGCTCCTTGGGAGCAGGGCCCTGGGGCACGTCCAGGCCCCGAGGCCTCCCTGAGTGCCTCCCGTTCGGAATCCGGTTCGGGTTCTGGTTCCGGGGGGGTGGGGGCTGGGGAGCAGCAGGCCGCCTTGTGCTGGGGTCCGGAGAAGCGCCTCGGCCCTCGCTCAGCAAATCTCCTCGGCCCCCTGCAGCAGGTTCGGGGCCTGGGGGATAAGCCCGTCGGGGGCCAGCAGAGACGCCGTGCTGGGCGGACCCTCCAGCTCCGGCCCATCTGCGTCTTTGCCGTTGCAGAGCGGCGTGGACTCCAGTTCCGTGCCCTCCTCCCGGGCCCTGCGGCCACGCGGGCGCCAGCGGCAGGGCCGGCCCCTGCACGGCACGCTCCGGTGGCTCAGGTACACCTCCAGCAGGTAGTAGATGGTCCAGAAGATGGTGAAGCAGCCCACCAGCACCAGGGTCTGCGGAAAAGCCACCACCGCCGCGTCAGGGGCCTCCCGGGGCGCTGCCCACCCTAGAGCCCTTGGGACCCCCTTCCCCATGTTCCCCGGAGTGCCCCCCCAACGCTCCTGCCCGCCTGCGGCTTGAGCCTGGTACCTTGAGGGTGTTGGGCGTGAGGGTGTGGCCGTCTTCCGGGGGGATCTCCAGCCCAGGGGGGCAGGGCAGGGAGAAGCCGTCGTGCAGGTATTTGCCGCTCATGGCATTCTCCAGCAGACTGTGGGGGAGCAGCATGGAGAGGGCCAGTGAGCGGACGCGCCCGTGGGTTCCCCTCGCTCCAGCTCCCGACTGCGGTCTGGAGCGGGGAGGCAGGGGCTGAACCCCCAAAGCAGCCCCCACTTCCCCCCTCGCACCTCCCCCCCCAAGTCGCCTCCCCTCCCCTCTGAGATGCGCTGCAGCGGCCGCACCCACCTCTGTCTCTCCTGGATGTCTTTGGGGCTCCACATGGAGCCGTAGAGGGTCAGTCGCCAATGCAGCAGGACGCCCGCGGGCGCCACCTCGTCTCCTAGGGCAGCAACGGGGTGTCCGGGAGCCAGGCCCAGCGCCCACGTCCTATCCACCCCACCCCTGACAGCGCGAAGGTTGCCTTCCGCCCCAGGGTTCTGTGCTGTGCCCCCGGGGGGGGGGGGGGCCCTGAGGAGTAGGGGGAGGGGGGCTGAGAGCAGGGATGGTGCCTCTCCAGCTCGCTCTGACTGGGGGTGTCAGCTGGGCGCTGGCTTGGAAAAAAGAAAAAGCCCTAAAGAGAGGCTTGACCTCCACAGGCCTCAGGGCCTTTGCGAGGGACCGGAAATCCGGGGCTGGGGTCCGCCCTGCCTTTCGGGGGGCCTCACACGCTTCACACCTCATCTTGGGGTCTCAGCTTTTCCAAAAGAAATGGCAAACGTTTGTCCAGCCCTTACCTGCCTACCAGGGCTGGCCGAAGGACGGTTTTATAGGAAAGGACTTGAAATGTGGTTTCAACAAGGAATTTGTGGTGCTACCCTGAGGAAAAACGGGTCAGTCACTTCTCCAAGGAGTGCGAGAGGAAACGGAGACTCACGCACGCCCCCCTGAGGCCCTGAAGGGGGAGGGGCCCAGGCTGAGCAACTGCCCTTGCAGCTGCCATGGCCGCCCTGTGTCTCCCGGAGCCCCTGGGGGTCGACCTCGGAAGGCTGAGATCAGCTGGGGGCCGGTGGCAGGGGGCCACTTACCCACATCCCTGATGACCAGTCTGTAGGTCCCCTTCGCTATCTCCCCCCAGCACCGCACGGTGGAGAAGGTCCAGTCATTGAAGCCGTTGGGGTCCCTGGGAAGGAGAGCAGAGAGGGGCCGGAGTGAGCGGACGGCAGGGAGGGCATTTGCCCAGCACATGGCCGACCCGCATTCCGAGGTCCCCTGAATACCCCCAGGAGCGATTCCTGAGTGCTGAGCCTGGCGTTCAGTCCTGAGCAGGGCTGGCTGTGACGCCTCCGGAAAAACCCAACCAGAACAAAAAGACGGAGCAGAGAAAGGGAAGAGCAGGGCGGGGCTCTATCCCCAGAGACTTTTTTTCTGGAAAAGGTGTGAAAACACAGCAGGTAGGGGTCTCAGCTAGGGAAGGATGCCAGGAAGGAGCTTCAAATCCTCTCTTTCTTTTCTTTGTGTTTTTGTGGGTCATATCCAGTGATGTTCAGGGGGTTACTCCTGGCTCTGTGCTCAGGAATCACTCCTGGCAGTAACTGCTTGAGGGGGGGGGCATACGGGATGCCGGGGATCGAACCCGGGTCGGCCACGTGCAAGGACAATGCCCAGACTGCTGTGCTATGGCTCTGGCCCCTCAAGTCCTCTCTTGCCCTGAGTTCTCATGGGGCGAGGGGGCGCTTGGGCTGGGGATGAGCCCGAGCACAGATGGGGACGGGCAGGGACAGTCCTAGTCGGACTTCCCCAGGCACTTCCAGCCCTGGGACTCGCTCTCCCGAGCCCCCTCCGCAGGGTCCTTGTAAGGGCACAGCAGGGAGATGTGAGGTGTGGCGGGCACCGTGCTAAGAGCGTGGACATGCTTGAACAGAGCGTAGCCGTGGCCGCTGCTGGCTGGTCTGGCCAGGCTGGTCCCGAAGGCCCCTCTTCCAGCCTCGCCCGCTGGTACTTACGAGTCCATGCTGCGGGGGGCGCCGATGAGGGACATCATGCCGCTGGGGCAGAAGAGCCGCAGCTCCAGGCTGCCACGCCGGGGGTGCGTGATGGACACGGTCACGGCCACGTGCTCCAGGGTCTTCAGCCCCGACATCTCCAGGTCCGTCCTGCTGACTGTGGGGAGTCAGGCTGGGCCAGCAGCCTCCAGACTGACGCCCAGGGTTCCCCCCATCCCAGCCCACCACCACCATACACACACACAGACACACAGACACACACACACACACACAGAGGCACATACACAGATACACACAGAGAGGCACACACACCAGAGGCACACATGCAGAGGTACATACATACACACAGACACACATAGAAGTATACACATAGACACAACACAGAGGCACATACACACACAGAGACACACACACAGAAGCGCGCACACATACACAGAGGCACATACACAGATACACACAGAGAAGCACACATAGAGGCATACACAGACAGGCATACACACAGAGGTACACACACAGAGGCAAGAGGCACATACACACACAGAGGCACACACAAAGCAACTCACAGAGGCACACGCACCAGAGGAATACACACACACAGGCATACACACAGACACAGAGGCACATACATACACACAGACACACAGAGGTACACACACAGACACACACAGAGGCACATACACACACAGAGACACACACACAGAGGCACATACACAGATACACACTGAGAGGCACACACAGAGAGGCACACACAAAGCAACACACAGAAGCACACACATCAGAGGCACACACACAGAGGCACATACAGAGGCACATGCATACACACAGACACACAGAGGTACATACACACAAACACACACAGAGGTATACACACAGATACAACAACAGAGGCACATACACTAAGGTACACACACAGAGACACACACAGATACACACAAGGTGCGCACACACAGAGGCATATACACACAGACACACACACAGACATACACAGAGGTGTGCACACACACACAGGCACACACACACACACACACACACACAGGCACATGTGCATTCCTGAGGCTGCTCGCAGATGTCTGAGGGCCGTGCAGCTGCTGGGCTCGACACAGGCCCGCCAGCCCTCCCCAACTTCCCAGAGAGCCTCCTGCGTGCAGGCTCTGTAGCAGCTGCTGGGAGCTGCAGAGAGCTGTCCGTGGCCTGGCCGCTGCCCGCAGGTGGGAAGGGACAGAGGGGGTCTCACGAGCCAAGCCATATGGGGCCAGCTGGGGCCTGGCACGCAGCAGAGGGAGGCAGGGAGCGGAAGGGCGCGGCCAAAGGTTCTGTGGGAAGGTTACGGTAACTGCCCTGCGTGTCGCCCGCCTCCCCCCGCCCCCGCCAATCTCTGGCACGTCCCCTGAGCAGCACCGGGAGTGACCCCCAAACCCGGAGTGCACGAGTGTGGCCCCAACAAATAACCCTTCTATTGAAAGAAAGAAAGAGGGAAAAAGAACAAAGTTCCAGCTGGGTAAGACCAGGCAGAAGACTCCAGAGGAGGAACCAAACTTCCGTGAAATTCTGCCAAAGGCAAAAATGCCAACTTGGAAAGGACCCTTAGTGCCTGCTCTTGTAGCTGAACCAGATAAGGAAGACAGACGGGGAGGCCAGGCCTGAGGGACAGAGAGGCCCTATGGGCCCAGAGGAGCCCAGAGCATCCCTGAGCACAGAGCCAAGAGCCCCCCAATACAAACTAAAGTGCTCCACTTACTGTCTTTTTTTTTTTTTTAATGGCATCATCCCTGATGTGCTTGGGGTAGGGGCGCGGCTACTTCTGGTGCTGTGCTTGGGACCAAACCCAGGGCTCCCGCCTTGAGCCATCTCAATGTCCCTCCACACTTGCCATCTTTAGCCAGAAATCTGTCCCCAAGTTCAGGTGGTCGCTATCCAGCTTTGGCCCCGTGGAGACAGTGAAATGATGTCAAGGTTGTTGGCAGGGCCATTAAGCCCAGGGCCTTGGGCCTGGAAGCGTCATGGCCTGCTCTGTCCTCTCAGGCTTTTCTGGAGAGGCACCTTTCCTCTGCCTCCTCTTCAGTCAGGTTGTCCCCCGACAAGTCCCAGGGCTCTCCCTCCCCCCGGCCCCTAGACCACTGCCTCCAGCCAGGACCCGGCTTTCCAGAGAAAATCCCAGCGGGCTGCATGGAGCCGCTGTCCCAGCCTCACCACTGCTCTTGGTCTCTGTGCTCCGCACAGGGTGATCATGCCCCAACCTCTTCCTCCTCCCACTCCCTTGCTGATTTCCCAGCATCGCCAGTTTATCAGCTGCCCAAGCTGAGAACTGGGAAACCCCCATATGTGAGACAAACAAGTAAATGAACGCAGACAAGGGGCTGGACAGAGAATTCTGGCCTGTTCTAGAAACACATGGAACAGGAAGACTCCCTAAGCCCTGGAGGCCATTCCACCCTGAAGCATCCTTGAGACCTGGGAGTGTGGTTCTTTTCTTTTTTTTTGGTTTTGGGGCCACACCTGGCGCTGCTCAGTCTTAGTATTGGCTCTGCACTCAGGGATGGCTCCTGGCGGTGCTCAGGGGACCATCTGGGGTGCTGGGGATCGAACCCCAGTTGGCTGCATGCAAGGTGAGTGCCCTGCCCCTGTACTATGGCTCCAGGTCCCCACTCACATTCAATAAGTTTCATTCAATAAAAACTATCTTGCCTCACAAAAAAAAAAAAGAGAAAAGAAAATCAAATTTCTCAGTTGTGGAGACCATCCTCATCGCTCCTCAGTGGTCTCCGAGTTGGTGGAATGTCAGGGAACATTCCACGGCAGAGAAAGCAGCCACGCCCTAGAATCTCACCGCTGTCCACGTCCTTCATCTCGGACACTTTCCACCAAGTCTGACAGCGAGTCAGCAGGCTGGGATGGGGTGAGGGGCGTAGGACAGGACCATCGGGGGCTCCGGGCCGGCGAGATGCCTCCCCGCCCCACCCCACAGGCCCCCTTCCTGCCCCCACACCCAGCGGGACATCTGCCCTCCTCCTCCTCACATCCGAAGGGCAAGCCAGCAGATGCCACGGGTCTGGCAGCCAAGACCAGCTTGGCAGATGCGCTGGGGGATCCCCGCCCCCCGCCCCCGCCCCCCCCGCCGCTGAGTGGGAAGCCAGGGGAGAGCAGCACAGCCAGGAAGAAACATGGTCACTTCTCAGGCCGCTCCTGCCTCGGCCCGCGCCTGGGCCAGTCAGAAGCCCCGAGCCCCGAGTGTGAGTCGGAGCTGGGGTCAGGGGTGGCCGCATTCCTGGGAACGTGGCCTTCCCAGATGGCATTCCTTTCAGGGAGCGTGCCGTGAGCTGCCCCCGGGCTGGGCCGCCTGCCTCCCATGGATGGACGGGCACCATAGAAGGTTCCGCAGGGAACCTCCAGCCCCGGGCAGCTGGTCAGCCTCCTCAGCGTCCCTGACTTCAGCCCACCCCCCACCCAACCTTCCTTGGCTCGGAACCTGGCATTCAACTGTAGCTCCCTGAAACCTACAGAGAGATGAGCCTCGGGACCCATCAGGTATCAACCAAGGGGATTCCAGCCTCACCCTCTGCTCTGGAGGGGGTTGCCCTTTGTGCTGGACACGGCCATCAGCCAAGCCCTGTGACCCGGGACAGAGGGAGAGCTGCCCCCCCTGGCCCCCCATCTGAAGTGGGACAAGCCCGTGAATCCGAGGAGAAAGCTCTGGCTCCTTGATGGGTTCCTGACTTGGTACAGCCAGGCCTGACTGGGAGAGGGACAGCGTCCTGGCCAGCGCTGCCTGCCCCTCCCCCCGCACCCCCTGCAGCCCCCCCCAAGGGAGGGCCGAGCCCCTTTCCAGTCCGCTCCCCTCGGAGCAGCGGGAGAAAGGGCTGGCGGGTTTCGACAGCCAAATCAGAAGCAGCAACATGCCCTAAAATGGTCAAAGCAAACTCCCCAGGTTTGGCAGGAACTCAGCGAGGGAAGGGGGCAGACGCCGGCCCGGCCAGCGGCCAGTGGCCAGGGCCCTGGGGGAGGCCGAGCAGCCTGGGGGAGGCTGAGCAGCCAGTGCCTCAGCCTGCCCCCGTCCGGGCTCGAGATTAACCCCTTCCTGCTGACTTACCATTCCAGCTCACCTCCAGGGTTTGTGGGGCCAGGGGGATGGCCCGGTTCTCCTTCAGCACGGGGCTGGCGTAGGAGGCGAGGTACGGGACGGAGGTCCAGACCTGCACGGGACAGGGGCGCGTGAGGGGCCCCGCCACCGGTGGGCAGGCCAGCTCGCACGCCTCTCCTCCGGGGGGTCTCCTGCTGGCGTTGCTGGAATGGCCCCCGGGGAGCCGCATCCCAGACTCAGTGTGCTCACTGGGCCCAGGAGGGAAGGACAGGGCAGAGCAGGCCCGTGAGCAGGGTGAGGACAGAGGCTCTGAGAGACTCCCTCTCACCGTGCCCACCCAGCGTCCACCCCGCACGGTCACCTTTGTTTTTTGATTTTTTTCTTTTCTTTTTGTGTCACGCAGGCGATACTCAGGGGTTACGCCTGGCTCTGCACTCAGGAATTACTCCTGGCGGTGCTTGGGAGACAGTATGGGATGCCGGGGATCGAACTTGGGTTGGCTGCGTGCAAGGCCAACGCCCTCCCGGCTGTACTATAGCTCTAGCCCCCACGTGCAGTCACCTTGGCCGCGTTCACGAGCCTCCAGGCGTTGAGCAGGCCGAAGCCGTGCTGGTGGCTGTGTCTGAAGCCGGCCTTGTTGGTGACCCAGTCGGCCCGACGGTCCTCGTACTGCGGAGACAGGACCAGACAGGCCAGCTAAGGCCACCGGCGACCTCCGTCCGGGTTCCTGTGCATCCTGTGGGCTGAGCCGGCATAGGCCGCCCCCGAGAAGACCCAAGGGTCTCCCACCCCATCCCCCGGGAAAGCTGGGACGAAAGGTCGGAGCCCTGTGATGTCATGTCCCCGGGCGACAGGGCCCCAAGAAGATCCAGAGGGAGGCTCCAGCCCAGCGGTCAGCAGTAGGAGGACAGCATAGGGGCAGGGCTGAGGCCCTGGGGAGCAGCAGGGGCTCTGGGCCAACAACAGATGGTATGGGGGGGGCTCCCCAGGTGCCTGGGAACCCAGGAGCCTGGGAGACGGTGCTGGGGCCCACAGGAGACGGTGCTGAGACCCCCAGGAGCACGGGAGACGGTGCTGGGGCTACCGGGAGACAGTGCTGAGACCCCCAGGAGCCCAGGACAAGGTGTTGGGGCCCCCAGGAGCATGGGAGATGGTACTGGGGCCCCCAGCAGCTGGGAGACGGTGGCAGGGCTCACCTGGGCAGCCGTGAAGACGATGATGTGCTGCACGTCTCTCCAGGTGAGGCAGGGCCGCGCCTGCAGCATCAGCGCGATCATGCCCGCTGCCAGGGGCGCCGCGGCCGACGTGCCGGTGTGGCCCTCGGTGCAGCCCGTGCCCTTCTGGAGGTCCCAGTCGGTGGTCACCTGCGGCAGGACGGAGGCAGGGCATGGACCTGGGCCACTGGCAATGCTGGTGGTCAGGGGAGGAGCTGGGGGTCCCGCAGCCAGCACAGGGCCCAGGTCTCACCAACCCCCCACCCCAAGGCCAGAGAGCAGGGACAGCAGGGGGACAGTGGTGTCAGGGCAGCCGACAGGCGGCTCCGGGTGGGGGACCATGGTGCTGTTGGCGCAGACGAAGCAAAGCGGTGCCAGGTCAGGGGGTCCCTCCTGAGCCCCCTCTTTCCGCCCTGGGCTGTGTCTACATTGCTGCTTGTCCCCCAGACAAGCAGCTACCTGGCTCCAGGGGCCCCTCATCCCCTGTGGCTGGGAGATTGGGGGGGTGGAGTCTGGGCCCCCTTCTCTGCTCTCACTAAGCCTGGGCTGCGGGAGTGATGGGCTAAGCCGAGGGACCACCCTCCCTTCCCTACCGGTCCCCCAGTCATCAGCTTCATCACATGGTGTTGCCACTGAATTTTCTTTGTCCCTTTTGTTCTGAGTCACTCCTGGCAGCGCTTGGGGGTGGGGGTCAGTCCTGGCGGTGCTCAGGGGGAATGGAACCCGCCCCCGCCCCCTTTCTGGCCCCGTTGTCTTTCTCCTTTTCCTGTGCTGGTGGTCATTCCTCCATGCCACCTCCCTCCTGCCCTGCTGGCCTGGGTCAGACACCAGGGTGCACGCTTGTGCCAAGAGCTGCCCTTTCTCCACGTCCCCGCCTCCCGCCCGCGGTCGGTCACAGCAGCAGCAGCAGCTGCCACCAGATGTAAGCACGGCCCAGACTCCCGGAAGACCAGGGCGGCAACGCGGGCCGGCTAGCAGATGGGGCTCGTCCCATTAAGGAGACTGCCTCATGCCGGAACTCCCAAGGAAGCAGGAGAAAGAAGGGGCCCCCCAGGCCCCCGCCTCAGGGGGACAGACGGCAGCAGAGACAGGCCGCTGCACGCATCCCAAAGATGGGGATTTGGCAAAGGAGGCTCTCTTCATTGCTGCTGGGCTGGAAGTGGGGGGTGTGGGGGGAGGAGCGCCTGGTCGGCTGTGCCAGGAGCCTCCTAATCCCTGTGCCCCCCCTGGGGCTTGCAGAGCACAGCCTGTTCTCACCCTGGCCTGGGAGGGGGTGCCCTCTGCACCCGGACCCCAGCCTGGTCCCCCACAGGGCCACCCCCCCCATAGCCCTCCACTCCTTCTTCTCCCCGGGGGCTGGCTGGCTCGGCGCCCTGGAACACGGTGTTGACCAGAAATCGTCTTATTGGCAAGGCGCTTTGGTTTTGGGGAAAAGGAGCTTGACCAGCAGGAAGACAAAGCAGCCTCGTTGCCAAAGACCCCAGAGAGGCCTCCCCAGCCGGCTCCCAGCCCAAAGCCGCAGAATTTCCTTACCCACCCCCAACCGCCCCTCTGCCTCTGCCTCTTCCGCCCTCTCAGCCGGTCGGGGTCTGCAGTGGCAGGGACAGGCCCGGCACCGGGTCCTGCCCACTCCCTGGCACATTCCGCTGTCAACTGTTTCCTGCGTCTCTGGGCTGCAGGCCTGCCCCTCAGACCAGGACGGCCATGCAGTCGCCCCTGTGAACGGCTCGGGGTCCTAGTGAGCAACCAAGGCTCAGGACCAGCACTTGGGCCTGGCGGCTGGAGCTGGAACCCACCCAAGGCGGATCTTCCCACGGGCTGACTCCTCGGGGCTGCTGCGGCCATGGCATCACTGCCAGTGAGGACCAGGGTGCCGCCCCACAGCTGTTCCCCAGGCAGTAGTGGGGTCCCGGGGGTGAGATCTGTGGGGGATGGGGTGGGAGGGGATGGGATTGGAGGGGCACTCACAATGCCCCGAAGCATCTTGTCCCCGCCGCTGAAGGTAACGGCCAGCATGGAGGCACACTCCTCGGCGTAGAAGGGCATCCGGCCCTCCTCGTCCACGGCACCTGGCAGTGGGGGCCGGGGGCGGGGGGGGGGGATGAGGTGAGGACCTGGGTGGCACCACTGATGGCTCAGCATCCGGGAGTCAAGCTGGGCCTCAAAGAGGCAAAGTTGGGGCTGGAGCAATAGCACAGTGGGTAGGGCGTTTGCCTTGCCCACGGCCAATCCAGGTTTGATTCCCAGCATCTCATATGGTCCCCTGAGCACCGCCAGGAGTAATTCCTGAGTGCATGAACCAGGAGTAACCCCTGTGCATTGCTGGGTGTGACCCAAAGAGCAAAAAAAAAACCCCCAAAAAACAAAAAACCAAAGAAGCAAAGTGGCTCCCCCACCCCGGGAAGGGCCCCCCTGGCAGAGGGAGTCTGTGCTGGGGATAAGTGGGGACACTCCCTCCACCAGCCTGGTCCTCATGTCCGCCTGTCTGGTTTGTCTGGGGACTGAGCCCAGGGCCTGCGTCTGGTGAGGCAGAGTTCCCCTCTGAGTCCCAGCCCTGACCCTGGCTTGTGCGTGTTTTAGGGAGTCACACCGATGACAGGCGCAGGAAAGCTCAGGGCTAACTGCTGGGGCCCGTGGCCCAGGAAGGAGCAGGGTCAAACACAAATGGGCGACAAATGCTCCAGGTGACGGGACAGAAGGGTTCCCAGGATCACCCCTGACATGAGAGGGAGTCCTCAGATCCCCGAGGACCCAAAGCATCTGAAGATGGGGCTCACACACTTAGGCATGGTCACTGGGCTGGGACCACCTCAGACAGACGGACAGATACCACACCCCTAACACACACAGCCATGCATATTCCTCACATGTACATATTCACACACCCCTGACACTCACACTCCATATACAGGCGTAGTCACACACTCACACTCTCCTCACTTGCAGACACTCACACACTCTCCTCACAGACACACACACACACTCTCCTCACATACACATTCACACTCTCCTCACACACATCACTCTCCTTTCCTACACACTCTCCCCACACCCTCACACTCTCCTTGTGTACACGCCCTCACACGGCGCACCCGGACACTCCTGACGCAGTCCCATGGCTACCCCGGCCCCGTGCATGCAGAGGCAGCCGCACCGATGGTGACTGTGTAGATGGAGTTGGCGTAGCCGTCATAGTTGCAGTTGTCATTGTGCTGACCCCCATTGCCACTGGCCACCACGAAGATGCTCCCAAAGCCCTTGCGGCCGGCGATCACCCCGTGTTGCAAGGCAGCCTGGGGAGCAAAGAAATCTGCTGGGGGTGCCCCCAAAAACCCTCCCTCCGGGTCCCTCCCCTTCTAGAAGGAAGAGCTGCCAGGATAGGGGTGTCTGGGAGGAAGGAGGCCTGGAGGGCAGAAAGTGGACGGATGTGTGGGGGCCTGGGCTGGGGAGCCCACACAGAACCAATGGGCAACACTCCCCAGATGATGCCACGTTTCTCTCCATGGAATTATTCTAGAAAGGAGGCTTGGCCCCTCCTGCGGCCTGGCACAGCTGGGTTCCCCAGGGTCTTCACACCCAGTTACCTTCCCTAGCTGGTGGGGGCCGTCCACCGTCTTCCCATCATCGTCTGGACCCCAGCTGTGGAGAAATGCCAGCAGAAAGAGCTGGGCTGGGCCGGCCACCCCCTCTGCCCGGGCCCTGCCATGCTCCCAGGGTTCTGGGGTCTCCGCTGACACACACGGGGGGAGTATCAGCCGAGAAGACCCACATGAGGGTCTTCCCCTAGGCAGACTCTGCAATGGAGTGCAATCTTTCTTCCTGAGGGGGAGGGGAGCTGGGAACACCCCGCTGTGCTTGGGGGCGTCTCCCATGGTGCTCAGGGTGGGGGTCCATGAGGCGCTGGGAACCAGAGGCCCAGCATGTGCAAGGAACACGCCCCTGGGTTTCCAGCCCCTTCGCATTATCTTTCTGTTTCTTTGTTTCAGGGCCACGCTTGGTGGCACTCAGGGATTCTTCCTGAAAGTGCTTGGAGGGACCCAATGTAATGCCAGAGATGGACCCAGGGCCAATGGTGTGCCAGGTTGGCACCTAACCTCCTGATCTCTCTCTTTGGGCCCACACTTAGCATTCTTTTTTTTTTTTTTTTTTGCTTTTTGGGTCACACCCAGCGATGCTCAGGGGTTACTCCTGGCTCATGTACTAAGGAATTACTCCTGGCGGTGCTCAGGGGACCATATGGGGTGCTGGGAACCGAATCCGGGTCGGCCGCGTACAAGGCAAACACCCTTCCTAATGTGCCATCGCTCCAGCCCCACGCTTAGCTGCTAAAGTTCTTTCTCACACCCAGGGAGCATAAGCAAGTGCCCCGTGGGTAAGAAACGAGGATGTAGGGCTAAGCGCCCAGAACGACCTGGCCGCACCAACCCACTGTGTCCTGGGCGAGGTCGAGAGCTCTAACAGGTTCTCCCAACAGCCAAGCACCAGGAATGGAGGTGCAACTTTATGGGAGCACTAGAGGGGGGAAGCAGATGCCACCAGAGCCAAGGGACAGCCTGGCCTCGAGATCCCAGCCCCAACTCCCCCCGTCCACTCTGAACCACCATGGAAACCATCAAGTGGCATAGTCATGTGGCAGGTAGCAGGGATTGGCATTGCCCAGCCAGCTCAGAAAGAGAAAAGTTCCCTTTCAGGGCCCGAGTGAGTCTAGTGAGTAAGGCGAACCACAGCGGACCCGGGTTCGATCCCTGGCAAACCATAGGCTCCCTCACGCACCTCCAGGAGTGATTCCAAAGCACAGAGCCAGGAGTGACTCCTGAGCATCGAAGGGTGTGGCCCCAAAGACTTCACTTTTCTCCTGGAGCCCTTAGGATCTTCTATTTCAAATTTATTTTTATTTACAAAACTGTTTAATGTTTCAAAAAATAAAGAGTTTAGGGTGCGGAGCCATGGGCTGGAGCGATAGCACAGTGGGTAGGGCGTTTGCCTTGCACGTGGCCGACACGGCCAACCCGAGTTCGATTCCTCTGCCCCTCTCGGAGAGCCGGGCAAGCTACCAAGAGTATCTCGCCTGCACAGCAAAGCCTGGCAAGCTACCTGTGACATATTCGATATGCCAAATACAGTAACACGTCTCACAATGTTACTGGGCCCGCTCGAGCAAATCGATGAACAACGGGAGGACAGTGACAGTGACAGAGTGCGGAGCCATAGTCCAGCTAGTCCAGCGGGGAGGGCGCTTGCCTGGCATTTGGCTGATCTGGGTTGGATGCTCCCAGCATCCCATATGGTCCTGGAGGGCCGCCAGGAGTGATCCCCGAGTGCAGAGTCAGGAGGAACCCCTGGGCACTGCCATGTGTGGCCCCAAACAAACACAACTTTATTAAACAAATAACACCCCCTGGGTAGAGGGTTGAGGGTACGCTGCTGACAGTGGGGGTCAGTTGCTGGAGGGACCCGAGTTAAGGCCGAGTCCAGTGCCAAGGGGCCAGAGACGCCAGAGTGGTGGGCTTGGAAGCTGAGTGAGGTTCTGGGGGCCCCCCACCCCCTGCCCCAGGTGCTTCTGCCCGCGTGCTCACCTACAGCTGTAGATGTCGTTGATCTGATAGTGCTTGTTGAACGCCACGGCCTCCATGCTGTCGGTGAGGGGACCGTCCAGTACCCGGATACCTAGGCAGTGAACCCCACTCCTCAGTACCGCTGGGCTCCAGATGGGACGGGACGGGCGCACACGGGCCTCACTGTCCCTTTAAGCTCTCTTAGCCCTCTTGTGCCAGGTATAATATAAGCAGGAAATGGTGTTGCTCCTTTCTTTTGGGGTGGGGGTTGTGGGCAGGGTTCACACCTGGTGGTGCTGGGGATCAAACCCATGCAGACTGCACTCATCCTTTGAGCTCTCTCTCTCTGGCCCAAGAAATGTTTTACTTTTCTTGTTGTTTGACCTTCACCCCACTGTGCTCAGGGCCTACCCCTGGCTCCGCACTCAGGGATCACTCCTGGTGGGGCTCAGGGGATCTTGTGTGGTGCCTGGGACGGAACCTGGGTCAGCCGTGTGTAAGGCAAACCTCTTGCCCGTTACCATCTCTCAGCTCCCGCCCCCACCAAGAAATGGTTTTTTTTTTATAGGGGTTTATTTTGGGAGGGGGGCTGGGGGTACAACTGGCAGTGCTTGTTATTGGCTTATTACTGGCTCTTCACGGAGGGACCACTCCTGGCAGGCTCAGGGAACCTTATGGGATGCCAGGAATTGAACTCAGGTTGAACTCTGGCAAACTCCCTACCCACTGTACCATTGCTCAGGTCCTACCAAGAAAAAAAAAATTTTGTTTTTAGCAATGCTAAAATGCTGATTTTGTGGGGGGCAGAAATAGTCGAGTGGGCAAGGTGTCTGCCTTGCACGCAGCCAACCTGGGTTTGACCCCTGGCATCCCAGATAGTCTCCAGAGCCCGCCAGGAGTGATTCCTGAGTGCAGAGCAAAGAGTAAGCCCTGAGCCCCGCTGGGTGTGGCCCCAAAACCAAATAAAATTAAAATATGCTGCCTCTGTGGGTTGGAGAAGGTACAGGATAGACTGCAGGGAACCAAAGGTCCCTTCCTTTTTCCTTTCTGGCGTTTTGGGTCACACCTGGCGATGCTCAGGGGTTCCTCTGAATTACTCCTGGCAGTACTCGGGGAATCATATGGGATGCCGGAGATCAAACCTGGGTTGGCCCCGTGCAAGGCAAATGCCCTCCCAGCTGTGTTACGTACAGCTCCGGATCCCCAAGAGTCCCCCCTTTTTTTTTCTTTTTGAAAAGACATCCCGGCGTTGCACAGGGGTGACTCCTGGCTCTGCACTCAGGAATTACTCCTGGCGGTGCTCGGGGGACCATATGGTATGCTGGGAATTGAACCCCGGTTGGCCACGTGCAAGGCAAACGCCCTACCCACTGTGCTATCACTCCAGCCCCAAGGCTCCTTTCTTATCTGTACCTGAAAACCGCCAGCATTTCTGCCTCGTGCTGGGCCTAGCAAGCATCCCAGAGGTGGGGAAGGAGCTCACAGGGTCCCAGTGCAGGCCGCGTATGCAGGAGGCCCGGGCTGGGTCTGGCACCCACAGTCCCCCCAATCCCCCACTGCCTAGAAGAGCCAGCAGCCCCTGAGACCCGCGAGACCCAAACAAGGGAAGTGTTCTGTAAGTGGCACTCACAGCCCTTCCAGGCCCCGCGGGGTCTGTGCTCACCCTCTGGCCGCTCGAGAGGGGCACCCGCAAGGACCAGCCCCCAGAACCACAGATCTGGCCCTGTGAAGGGACAAGTGGCTGAGGATCACCCAGGGTCGCCTAAGGGACTGCTGCCCTCTGCTGCCCCCTGCCGGGGCATGGAGACACAGCCGCCTGGCTCACTGGTCGGAACTGAGTGGTCTCCTGGGGTCCAGCCAGGGACCCTGGAACACCCGCCGTCCAGCGTCCAGTGTTCCTGGCAGTGCCAGGACGTGGGGGGTGCTGAGGCCATTTGAAGGTCTGGGAGCGGGAGAGGGGGCAAGACGGGCGGGCAGCACACGGGGTGCCGGGTCTGACGGTGAGAAGCAACTAGGTAAAAGTGAGGGTCCTGCCACACCCTGTACTAGGTAAGAGGGAGGGTCCAACCCATACTAGTAAGAGTGAGGGTCCAGCTAGCACTAGATGAGAGGGAGGGTCCTGCCGGCACTAGGTAAGAGGGAGGGTCCTACCCGACTTCGTAAGAGTGAGGGTCTGCCCACACTGCCCAGAGGTGAGGGCAGACATCCCCCCACCCCTGGCCCGGGACCCCAGGTCCCATGGGGGGGCGCACAGACCTGCAATGCGGCTCCCGTAGGCCACGCCCACGGCGCAGAAGCTGTTGTTGGGGACTGCAGCGATCTCGCCTGCGCAGCGCGTGCCGTGGTGGTTCCCGTTCTCCACGTCCGGGTGCGGCATGGGGTCCGGGTCGTTGGAGTTGAGGTCGTAGCTGCCCTCGGGGCTCTGAAAGAGGGGATGGGCGCCACGTGGGCTCAGAGAGGGCCTTGGGCGCTGGCGGGGAAGGGGGGCTCTGGGTAGACCTGGAGGCCCGAACCCCACAAGGTTGGGAAACCTGGGATAAGAACACAGGCCTTTACCATGACTATTATTGTGAGTGTGTGTGTGTGTGTGTGTGTGTGTGTGTGTGGCTTTTGGTCCACATCTGGCAAGGAACCCTATGCTTTTTTTTGGGGGGGGTCACACCCAGCGATGCTCAAGGGTTACTCCTGGCTGTGCACTCAGGAATTACTCCTGGAGGTGCTAGGGGGACCACATTTGATGCTGGGAGTTGAACCCAGGTCAGTTGCGTGCAAGGCAAATGCCCTCCCCAGTGTGCTATCACTCCAGCCCCCGACAAGGGACCCTATGGACCTGGGATCCAACCCAGGTCGGCTGTGTGCAAGGCAAGTGCCCTTCTCAGTGGCTCTCTTAGGACTTTTTTTTTTTTTTTTGCTTTTTGGGTCACACCCAGCAATGCACAGGGGTGACTCCTGGTTCATGCACTCAGGAATTACTCCTGGCGGTGCTCAGGGAGCATATGGGGTGCTGGGAATCGAACCTGGGTCGGCCGCGTGCAAGGCAAATGCCCTACCTGCTGTGCTATCATTCCAGCCCTCTCTTAGGACTTTTTAACTTAAATTTAATTTAATTTAAATTAAATTAGTATCCTGCCCACACGCCAGAGTCTGGCAAACTCCCCGTGATGTAGTCAATATGCCAAAAACCCGTAACAATGTGGGTCTTATTCTCCTGACCCTGAAAGAGCCTCGAATGTGGCACTTTTTAAAATCTCAGGGCTAGGACGAAAGAGACATTACTGGGGCCTGCTCGAGGCAATCCACGAACAACAGGATGACAGTGATACAATGAATTTAAATTATTATTATTATTATTTTTTGCATCACGCCTGGTGATGCACAGGGGTTACTCCTGGCTCTGCACTCAGGAGGTGCGCAGGGGACCATATGGGATGCTTGGAATCGAACCCGGCTCAGCTGTGTGCAAGGCAAACGCCCTACCGGCTGTGCTATTGCTCCAGCCCTGTAAATTTACATTTTTTAAATTTTGGGATCACACCCAGCAACGCTCAGGGGCTACTCCTGGCTCTGCACTCATGAATTACTCCTGGCAGTATTGGGGGGACCATTATGTCATATTGAACTCCGGAGATTGAACCCAGGGCAGTCACGTGCAAGGCAATGTACTATCAGACTGTGTGTTTGGAGGCCACACCCGGCAGTGATTAGGGGCTACTCCCAGCTCTGCTCTGAGGCCCCCCCAGCAGGTGCTTGGGGAACCAGCTGGTGAGGATGGACCTGCCTTCTGCCTGCAAGGAATGTGCTCAGCCCTCCCTCCAGGCCTCTCAAGGCCCCCAGGGTGGCCTGCAGGGAGGAAAGTGCTGGAACTTGGCTGGAGAGGGGAGTGGCTGCCAGGAGTCCCTCTCTCCTCCCAGGGAGCAGAGACCGGAACCAGGAAGTATACCTGGGCCGCTCCCTGTGCCCTTGATGCCAGGCTGGGTGCCCACTAGGATAAAGGGGAACAGGAAGAACACAGCCCACTGCCTGCTATGTTGGACCCCCGAGACCTCCATAAGGGGCTGGCGTGAGCACATCGCAGAGATGAGGTTCTGGGTCACTCACGTAGTTGGGGGCGATGTCCAGCACTGTATGCTCCACTCCATCATCCACCACCACCACGGTCACCCCACGCCCCGTGACGTTGCGCTCCCACACGCCTGTCACGTTGATGTCCCTGCCGGGGCTCCGTCGGTTGTTCTGTAGGACAGACGGGGGTCCAGGATTTTTTTCTTAAAGCCCTGGACACACGGCCTGGCCTCGGTGGGACCCGGGGGAGGACTTCCTGCTGGCCCTCACTCTGGGCCCTCATCAGAGAACAAGGCAGCTGTGGGCCAGCAGTGTTGCATGCCAAATCCCAGCCTCTGCTCTGCAGGGAGGCTTGATGCCGTTGCCGGGTCCCAGAGAGCCCCCTAGGAACTGGGGTTCGCAGCTGAATGGCACAGGTAGCAAGTTGAAAAAACATATATATCTCGGGAACTTTCTTTCTTTTTTTTCCTTTTCGGGTCACACCTGGCGATGCTCAAGGGTTACTCCTGGCTCACACACTCAGGAATTACTCTTGGCGGTGCTCGGGAGACCATCTGGGATGCTGGGAATCGAACCCAGGTTGGCCACATGCAAGGCAAACACCCTACCCGCAGTACTGTCGCTCCAGCCCACAGGGACTTTCTTTTGGTTTGGTTTAGTTTTTGAGCACCATCTAGGATGCCTAGGTTTTTCCCCTGGCTCTGCGCTCAGGGGATCCCTGAACTGGGGTCAGCGGTGTACCAGGCAGTCCCCTTAGCCCTGGAACTATTTCTCAGCCCCAGACGACACAAATATCCTAGAATCAAATGTTCGCAGCCACTATGAAGTGTTGCCGGAGATTAGGGTCCATTTCTGATTCTCCCATGAGTGGCGGGATAAACCCTGGGATCCCAGAAGAGGAAACCGAGGCCCGGTGTTTCAACAGTCTGGTTCCAGGGCCCCCATCCTCGTCACAGCCCGGGCCTCGTCACAGCTCGGGCCACACTCACCAGGTGCCACTGCTGCGGGAACTTGGGGTCGTTGAAGTTCAGGCTGCGCTTGGTCCGTCTCAGCAGCCTCTGCTCCGAGTGCCAGCGCACGGCCTCATGCGCGCCCAGCACGGCCTCCGCCTGCTGCCGCACGGTTTCCGCTTGCTGGGCCTGCTGGGACCCGGCGGGCTGGACAAAGAGGTAGTGACCCCGGAGCTCCCCGATGCGGCCGGCATTCACCAGCCCGGCCGCCTGCGCCAGGGTGTCTGCCCACTGCTCCAGAGTCTCCTGCCCAGGGCCGCCCGGGCTGTCCAGGTGCACGGCCCAGCTTAGCGCCCCAGGCCCCTGGCCCTCAGGCCCGCTGGGCCCTGCCAAGCCCATGCCCCAGGGAGCCAGTAGGATGAATCCGGCTAACTGCAGCCAGAGGGGGGTGGGCAGGCCCAGGGGCGCATTCTCCTGCAGCACCTTCTGCCTCTCCACCGGCATCAGAGCAGCGGGCTGCAAGCAGAGAGGGGGATGGTGTCAGTGACCCCCGTGCTTCTGGGGGACACGGAGCCCCTTGGGAGTCACCAGCTCACCCTCCAGCCCTGCAGAGTGGACCCACTTTATTCCCTTCAACTATCCCCGCACCCACGGGAAGAAGCCGCCAGAGAGAGTACGGGCCAGCCCCGGGGACAGTCATCAGCTACCCAATGTCCTAGCTGCTGACGGGCGCTGGCTGGCTCTCCCAATGACCGGCATGGTGAGTGCTGACTCCCCCTGCCCTGATTTTGCGGGGCCATAAATCTCCCCCCACCCCCCCCACCCCCGCTGCCTGTTCAGGCTGCCTCCCTCGGCCCCCCCACCCCGTTCTCCGGGGCCATTCCTACCTGGACTCTCCACGGGGGTGAGCTCCTGGCCTGGCTGACCACCTCACGCTCATCTTGTACAGCTGGAGAAAAGGCATGGTCAGCGGTGCTGGCCACAGGTGCACACGACAGACCTGGGCACCCCAGGAAAGAAGAACCCGTGTCTTTGTCCTCCAGAACCCAGAGGGAGCAACCGAGGCCGGTGAATTCCAGGCCAGGTGGCCACAGACATGGGCCTGTGGCGTCTCCTGTGCATGGTCCGCCCCTACCCCCAGCACCATCCTCCAGCACTGAGCAGTGCCGCTGGGTGGCTCCCTGCCTGGTAGGTTCCCCGCCCCCACCCCACCCCCAAGAAAATAAAGAAAAAGAATCTGGCTGTGGTCCAATGTTCTTCACGTAGTTCTAGTGGGTCCCAGCCCAGCACGTAATGGGTAGAGCCAGGTCACAGCAGCACACATCCCGGCCTGACTATCCCACCACCCACCCTCTTCGGCTCCCTCCCTGAAAACATCGAACTGTTTCTGGAAACCCTCTGGGAAAGGGCAGAGAGTTGTTTCGAAAATGTCTGTAGCTGTCCGGATGTCTGTAGCTCTGAAGTGGGCCAGGGAGCCCAGAGCAGTCTGGCCGCAGACAAGCCCCAGGGCCAAGGGGATTCACTGAACAGGTACTAAGGGCACTGGGGCAACTGGGAACTGAGACATGACTCAAAGCGTTGCGAGCTCAAGCACAGTTTGCCTGGAAGTGAGGGCTCAGGCTGCAAGTGTAGGATGGCCAGGCGGGGACCTTCGGGTGGGAAGCCCCGGGGATGGGAACAGGCCAATGTGTCGCAGAACATGTGGGTACCGATCAGTGGCCAGGCACCTTTCGAAGCCACACACAGACTCCAATGAATGGAACTGGAACCATGGCTGAAAAACCCGTCTGGAAGGGGAGAGGGACGCTCCCCAAAAGATGGATAACACAACATTCTCCAACTCTGCCTTCCTCCTCCACTTCTTTCTCTCTGGTTCCCAGGAACAGGGTCCCGCAAACCCCACCCTCCTCCAGCAGCCTGGACGGTCCCGGTCCGAGTAAGTGGAACCAAAGGGCCACTTCCTGCTCTCCCTCCAGCGGAGCGTCCAGGTGCCCTCTTGTCCCCGCCCGGGGCGTCGGAGTAGGGACCCCCGGATCTCTGGACGCGGATCTCAACTTCACCCCACCGCTTAGGAGGAGCTTTCCAGGACTTTGGAGTCGGGGGCGGAGGGCCAATCGGGCCGGGATCTGTTCCCCAGAGGCTGCCCTGCTCGCCGCCTCCCCCCCGGGCCGCTAGACCGCAGGCTGCGGACAGGGGGTCAGTGCCACCGCCTCGCCCCTCCCGGGCCACCTCTCTCCGGAGGCAGCAGGACGGCGCGGGGGTCCGAGCTCCCGCCGCCCATCCCCGTGCCGGCGCCGCTCCCGCCTCTCCAGGCCCCCCGGCCAGCTCCCGCGGCCCCCCCGCGCTCGGCGCCCCCCGTCCCCGCCGACTGCCCAACTCACCGGCCGGCCGCAGCTGCCGCCGCCGCCTCCCTGCGGAAACTCGCGGCTGCCCGGGCGCCCCGGGAGCCGGTGACAGGCGCGTCACTTCCGCCCGGCGGCGCAGCCAATCAGCGGCGCGGGGCGTGTGCTAAGCGCCGCCCCCGCCCGTCGTGCGGGCCTCCTGGGGGGCGCCGCTCGGGGACGCCCTGGGACCCTCCCCCACCTCCCCGGCGCCCCGTCTCCCTCCGAGCGCCATGGCCCCGACTGTCCCGCTGCCCTTCCTCCAGGGGCCCGTCCCGTCCCTGCCCGGCTCCTTCCTCCGCGCCGGGTCCCAGCCGCCTCCCCCGACTCGGGTCCCGGCGGCGGCGGCGGCGGCGGCGGCTCCTGCGGCGGCGTCCGCGGGCCGCGCTCCCCCGGGCCGCGCCGGCTCCGGCCGCCAGGGGGCGCCGTCGGGGGCGGGCGCGGGGCCGCGGCGGCCGCTCCTCTCCCGGGCCCCGGGGCCCGCGCCGCCGGAAGTGGGAGGAGCCCGCGGGCCGGCGCCCGCCCCCTGCCCCAGCTCGGCCGCCCCCTCCCCCGCGCCGCCCGCTCAGGTGCGTCCGTCCCTCCCCCACGGCCCTCCCGGGGGCGCGGCGCGGGCGGTGCGTGCGGGCCGGGGGCGGCGGCGGCGCGGGGCCGGGGGCGGGGCGGGGGGCGTGGAGGGGGCCCGCGCGCGCGGCCCGGGGTGGGGGGTGGGGGCGCTCGGTCTGGAGCGGGCCCGGGGGCAGCGCCGGCCCCGCCGCCGGCCGCGCGCGCGCGCGCGGGGGGAGGGGGCCCGGCCCGGCGCGCCGCTTCCCCCCATTGTCCCCGCGGGGCGGCCACTCGGCTGCCCCGTCCGCTCGGCCCCGCCCGCCCGCCCGCCCGCCGCGCGCGACCCCCCGCGCCGCCTCGGCCCTGCGCGCGGGCCAAGCCCCGACCCGAGCCCGCGGGGAGCGCTCGGAAGTCGGAGCTGGGCTGCGGGGTCCCCGCTTTCTCGCTGCAGCTTGGTGCAGTCGGGGGAAACTGAGGCACGCGGAGGGTTTTTTTGTCTTGTTTTGCAGGGGCGGGTGTGCGTGGTGGACACAGCCCAGTCGCCACCGTCCCTGTGCGGGTGTCCAGCTGAGGTTATTATTGCATTAAAAAAGGAGACTCGGGACGAGCCCCGCGTTCCTCTCGGCCCCTCCAGGGCTCCCCCCGTCGCCTTGTTTTTCCTTCCAGGGCAGAGGGCCTCGGGGGTTGTCCCAACAGCTAGAGGACAGCTTGTGACCCCCGCAGGGCGGCCGGCCGGGCCCCTCCTGTGGGGCACCCCCTGTCCTGGCGTTGGCTAGTTCCTCGACTCGCGGCAACGCAGCCACTCTCCGCAGCTGTACTTTTTGCTCAGACCCGGTTTCTCCCAACTTTTCCCATCTGGGGAAAAGAAACTTGGAAAACGCCCCACGGAGAAGCACTGCTCCTCGCAAGCACCTCCAGAGGAAGCTCATGGAGAGTGCTTTTATTATTGGGTGTTTCCTTTGTTTCGTTTTGTTTTTCAAATTTTAATTTTTGGATTTGGCGGGGCACACCTGGATATTGTCAGGGATCACTCCTGGCTGACTTGGGGACCGTATGGGTACCCGGGATTGAACACTGGTCAGTGCAAATGCCTCACCCCGAGTATTGTCCCTGCCCAGACGGTGCTTTTTCAGTCTTAACAGCCGAAAGGAATTTTGTTTTTTTTTTTAATTGAGGGGATTTGGGGTTACGTACCACAGAGCAGAGCTTCCTCCTGGCTCTGGGCTCAGGAATCCCTCTAGGAGGGGCTTGGGGGGCTAACTGGGGTCCCAGGGATCAGGCTAAGGTGGTTGTGTGCCAGGCTAATAATGCCTTAGGTTTCCAGCTCTCGTAAAGGGATTTCAAAACCTGAGATACTAATGCTTTTAGGCCCCCAAATAACAGCCTTTGGAAGTGGTTTTGGACGAGGTGAGTATGGAAGATTCTCAGGAGCGAGACTAGTTTCCAGGCTCGGGCTGGGGTGTTTTTTACCCAGATGGGATTCCTGAGACTGGGGAGCCTAGTGGACGTGGTTTCTTGCAGACCTTCAGGCATTCGAATGCGTCCTACCAGCACTGACGGTGTAGTGTGTCCTGGGAGCCAGTCTGATCGGGCCATGCTGGAGGGAGAGATGTGTTTGCTTTGGTCATTTCAAACTCATCACCCGGTTTCCTCCTGCAGGCACAGAGCAGATGGCGGCGCCTGAGGTGGCTGGTGTAGCAGCCAGTGCCCCCGACCCTCCCGAATCCTCCTCTAGTTTATGTGCTTCCAAATCCGAGGAAGGCTTTCCCGATGGTCTAAGGTAAGGAGTCCCATCCCGCCTGGGGAGGCTTCGCAGTCTGTGCGATTCTGTAGGACCCTCTGGCCGAACTTTCCCCTTGAGTTCTCCTGGCACTGACCGGAAACTTGTAATAATGGTATGGGGCTGAGTGATCGTAACCGCGGGAAGTCCTCTGACCTTGCACATGGCCCACCCGGGTTCAATCCCCAGCATCCCATGTGGTCTTCTGAGCATTGCTCAAGAGTAATTTCTGAGTGCAGAGTCAGGAGTAACCCCAGAGCGTTGCTGGCCCCAAAACAAAAATCAAAAGTCTGTTTCAAGGAAGGGAAGCGAATACGAGCTCTCTGGTCTGTATTTATGTTTCTGGTCCCTGACACAACCTCTTATCGGAAGCAGGTGTTTACAGTGTAGCTAGGTGAGAATACAGGAGGGGTCCAATTTACCCTCAAATGCAAATTCTTACCTGCCTTTTTCTCCATGGATGGTGTGTTTCATACATGTAGATGCATCCTTGCTATCTTTATTGCATAGATGTAGAGATAGTCCTACACATGCTACTCTAACTGTGTTCTTGTATTTGTCTCTATTATAACAGATAGCCTTGGTAATGTGCCTTCTCATTACACATATATTTTGCCTTCCATGTAAACTTTTTTTTGGGGGGTGGGGGGTGCTGGGGATCAGACCCAGGGCCTCCTATGTTTAAGGTATATATTCTACCCATGAGCTTCCCTGGCTCCCATTTCAACCCTTGAGTGCAGGAATTATACTTAACTAACCTTGCATCTGAGAGCAGTTAAGAAGTTGTTAAATACGAGAAAAATAATGTTGCCAGACACGGCATGGTACTGAACTGGGTATTTTGCCTATGGGAGAATCCCTGAGCCCTAACACAGTGGAAAATACGGAATGAAGAGCTTTATATGTTTTGCTGTATTGGATCCTCACAGTAACTCCAGGAGGGGGATGCTAACGTGTAATCCCCGCTCACAGGTGCAGGAAGCGAGCGGCAGAGTTAGGAACTTGCTCAAGGTTACCAAGCTCTGGTAGGGCCAACTTGGAACTGAGGCTTGTCTGACTCCAGAGTCCTCAGTAAATATTTGTTTCTGTGACAAGAGGTTTGTTGGGAAATGAATGGAGAGAAACATTGTGAAGTATCTCTAACTGTGAACGTGTGTTTCATCTTGTAGATAAAAATTAGCCATTTCCTGCAGGTAGTGACTCTCACAATAAAGCGTAGGGACTGTTTGCCTGGTGCCAGGTCCTAAACCCGGCGCTGCCTTGCATCATCACAGGTAATCCTCACACTGAGCCTCAGCTGGGTGATGTTGTACAAATAAGCTTAGTCACCTGTCCAGGGTCACACAAAAGGGAGAGGCAGGATCTACACTCGGGTACCTTATATGCCCAATTTATTTATAAGGAATAATTTATAATAATTTTATGTATATTTATAGATTATATATGATTTATTTTATAAGGAATTCACCTCCGCAAGGGTGAATTCAATTTTTAATTTATATTTTTTGTTTTTTGGTTTTGGGACCACACCCAGAGATGCTCAGAGCTGACTCCTGGTTCTGCACTCAGGAATCACTCCTGGAGGTGCTCAGGGGATCATATGGGATGCCGGGGATCAAACCCTGGATTGACAAGCACCTTACCCACTGTATCTTTTCAGCCCCTAAGTTTTTTATAATAAAGAAAATGAGTTTTTCTAATTTCAGTTTATATAAAGAAATTTCAGGGCCAGAGCCGTAGTATAGCGGGCAGAGTCCTTTCCTTGTCGCTGACTGGGTTTGGTTTCTGGCACCCCATATGGTCACCAGAGCCCACCAGGAGTAATCCCTGCGCTTAGCAGAGCCAGGAGTAAGCCCTGAGCACTGCTGGATGTGTCCCAAAACCTAAAATAGAAAAAGAAATTTTGTATCACAGAATGATCTCAGTTTGGACTGGCAGTAATGAGGAAAGAAAAATTCTTTGATCAACCAACGTTCCCCGTCAATACTAGCGTGGGGTGCTTATAAGGTACATTTGACAGCATCTGATAAAAATAAAAAGAACAAAAATACTTTTAAATTTTAGTTTTTATTGAATCACTCTGGTATAAACAGTTACAAAGTTGTTCATAGTTTTTTTAGTCACACAGTGTTTCAAACCAGTACTTTCATCAGTGCACATTTTCTGCCACCAAAGTCCCCAGTTTCCCTCCCACCTGCCTCCCCCCAACAAAGATAATTAACATAGATTTATTCATTCATAGATGAAAGACTTCAGAGTTGTGTATGTTGGATGCTATCATAAGTAGGTTCTAAAGATCTCTTTAATAAGTAGGTAGAATGGCCATGAGGATTGATAAAGTGTCCTGTTACACGTTTGTCAGGAGGAGATGGATTTCCTACCGGCAGCTTCCGTTTTGGATTCAGAGTTGTTTGAAGTGGGCTGGGGGGACAGTACCCGGTAAGGCGCTTGCCTAGCTTGAGGCCGACCTGGGACTGATCCTGACACAGCATATAGTCCCCTGAGCACTGCCAGGTGTGGCCCCCAAATCAACAAAAGCTCTCACCAGCCTTTTGCCCTTAAGGGAATAGCTGCGTAGGCTACACTTTGAGGAAGTGGATGTAAAAGTGACTTTGGGGCTGGGGAGGTGGCTCAGGACGGAGAGCTGCTGACCTGGCTTCTACCCCCCAACTGCAAAAAAGGAAGAAAAAATGTGTCTGGTCAAAGATCTGCATAAAGATGAAAGAAGATGATGATTGATTTATTTTTTTTTGTGGCGCCAGGGTCTCAGATGTGTGTTTTGCCATTCAGCCCTGAAGGAAGAGGATTTTTTGGTTTTTAATTTTTGGGCCACACCTAGCGAAGCCCAGAAGACTTACTCCTGACTCTGCACTCTGGAATCTCTCCTGTTGGGGGGGGGGAATAGAACCCAGATCATCTGCGTACAAGGCAAGCACCCTCCCCTGTCCTCTGGCTCCTGAATAATGATTTTTGTGAAATACGAGTGGGGTAAAACAATATTTCTGGGGCTGGGGAGATACAGTGGAGTGGATAGGGCACTTGCCTTGCATGCAGCCGAGTTGGGTTTAATCCCCAACCCCTCATGCACTCCCCCAAGGGACTGACACCTGAGCTAGGAGTAGGCTCTAAGCTCTGCCAGGTATGACTCTCCCCCCACTTACTTTCTTTCTTTCTTTCTTTCTTTCTTTTTTTTTTGGCTTTTTGGGTCACACCCCATGATCCTCAGGGGTTACTCCTGGCTCTGCACTTAGGAATTCCTCCTGGCAGTGCTTGGGGAACCCTATGAAATGCTGGGGATTGAACTCGGGTTGGTCGCATGCAAGGCAGATGCTCTCTCTGCTGTACTATTACTCCAGCCCTCATCTTTTTTTTTTTTTTAACCCACGAGAGTAGTTATTGAGAGCCCCCACGCATGGGTAGGTATCACCCAAAACTGTAGCACTGTAGCCCTGTCCTCCCGTTGTTCATCGATTTGCTCGCACGGGCCCGGTAACGTCTCCATTGTGAGACTTGTTGTTACTGTGTTTGGCATATCGAATATGTCACGGGGAGCTTGCCAGGCTTTGCTGTGCAGGCGAGATACTCTCGGTAACTTGCTGGGCTCTCCGAGAGGCGCAGAGGAATCGAACTCAGGTCAACCAGGTCGGCCTCATGCAAGGCAAATAAATGCCCTACCCGCTGTGCTGTCGCTCCAGCCCACCCAAAAACAAAAACCAAAATTCTGCTTTTTTTTTTTTGATCATGAGAGTGATTTCTGTTGGTCCCTTATTGAGAAGTGTCTCCTGAACCCCATTTCTTCCCCACCAGACTGTGCTCCCTGCCTGTCGGGTACAGACCACAGACAGGCTTGTACCTATTCATTCTGGCGGTGGGCATGTTTTTCTGTCCGTGTCTGTCCTGCTGGCGGCTGTTTGAGTGACTGCATGTTTGGTCCTCTTTCAGATAGGGAGTTAAAGAAAGAACCTTTTCCTCTTGTGTCTTTGCTAGCCCCAAAGACCCTGCCGAGAAGCACAAGAGCTCTCCTCTGTCCAGTGTAAGTAGTCCGGCGGTAACCAAGGAGAATAACAGAAATGTGCATTTGGAGCAGACAGAGCAGGATCCTGGTTCCCCAGCAGACGACACTCCAGCTGCGCGCCGGGCGGCTCTAGAAGGCAACTCACTGGCCGCAGCCCCTGGTCTTTCTGCCGGTGGGTCTCAGTCTGCTTTGAAGGACGCGGCTGGCAAGGCAGGAGAGGAGGGGGAGCGCCACATGCCCGAGAGTCTCCGGCCGGCCTCTCCGAAGGCCGGGGCCCCTCCCCAGCAGCCTGCCTCTGGGAATGGCCCTGCAGACCAGTCCCCAGCAGCCTCCATCCAGAAGGAAGGGGGCCGAGACGCAGGCCTGGACACCCACCCTATAGTGCCTCCTGCCTCTGGCATGGAAGGAGGCCGAGCGGATCAGGACAGTGCTTCCCCGAAGCTTTCTCAGAACATTGCCGTCCAGGTCGAGTATCAAGTTTCTACTCCTCTGGTGCGTGCCTGTGTGCATGTGTGCGTGTGCGTGCGTGTGCACTGCGGCTAGTTGATCTGTCACGTGCTTGGGCCGTGGTTAGGAGAGGTGTCATGGTTCCCTGTGGTCAGTGGCACACAGCTGACTCCGTGGCCCCTAACATAGTGCAATCCGGGGCCAGCGGTGACTTGGGACTTTGTCATGTGTGATGGCGGAGTCACAGATGCATGGGGGTGTGGGGAGCAACGCTTGTTGGCTCTCTCCAGGGCGTTCGGCTGGCCGGCTCTGCCGCACCAGGAAGGATGGGCACTGTTGGGAGCAGGGAGGCGCTGACCGCTGGCCTCAACTGTAGGCTGGCTCTCCAGCTACTGCAGGGTTTCCCGAGGGTCTTTGGAGTGGGGGATGTTGGATGTTTAGTGCATGAGGGACATTTGAGGCCCTTTGCCAGAACCCGGATGGTCAGTGAGAGGCAGACAGCAGAGAGCTCGCTCTTGTCTGAATGTGGGCCTCACGCGATTGCGTCTCGTAAGGTGTCTCTGGGCATTTGTGAATCTTGTTGTTTTCCTTTATAGACTGACTTTAAGACGGCGGACTCAGAGGTAAACACAGATCAAGACATTGAGAAGAATCTGGTAAGTGATGGAAAGGCTCCTGCGGGCCTCTGAGACCGTTAATGAGAAGGTCACAGCCCCTCTGGCGAGTGTGGTCCTGGCCCGACAGAGGGTCGGCTTGCTGCCTGGTCCTGGCAGATCATGCGAGATCTTTAGGCCTTAAGATGTGTTAACTGAGTGGAAAGGGGCGGGAAAAGTGCTTGTTGGCACTCGCTCAATTGGGTGTTTGGTATACCTTGAACAGGACTGCTGGAAAGAAGTGTGTTGTTGGCCCGCATTAATCATGGAGGGCAATAAAACATTTCTGGAGCCAGCGTGTCAACTCAGCAGGCTTTGATTTCTGGATTTGGGGCCGCACCTGACTGTGCTCGGGGCTGCTCCTGGCTCAGTGCTTGGTGGTTACCCTCGACCATGCTCAGGGGACCTTGCAGTGTCGGAGCTTGCACCCAAGTCTGCTGTGTGCAGACTTACCTCCTGTACCATCCCTCTGGCCTCTGGGGGATAAGGGGGTGGGGGTGGGGTGGGGGTGGGGTTAGCTTATTTGTTGTTGTTTTTGGTTTTGGGGACACACCTGACCATGCTCAGGGTGTGCTCCAGACTCTACGGTTAGGGACCATATGGGGTGCTGGGGATCAAACCCGGATTGGCATGGCCCCTATTTTTTTTAATAAACCCTGATTGAGATGCTGGTGATGGGAAAAGTACGCAGACTACGTAGTTGTCCCTTTGTCCCTGCAAGTCACTGTCGATGTTCTCGAGCAGCGGGCCTAGTAAAGTCTCCATCTTGAGACTTTGTTTCTACTGTGTTTGGCATATTGAATACTCACGGGTAGCTTGCCAGGCTTTGCCGTGCGGGCGAGATACTCTCAGTACCTTGCCGGGCTCTCCGAGAAGGGTGGAGGAATCGAACCGGGCTCTGCCGGGCCAGCCACGCGCAAGGCAAACACCCTACCGCTGTGCTATCGCTCCAGCCCCTCCCTGCAAGTATCAGGTGCATTTCAGTAGAATAGAGAGAGAGTTGCGGCCAGAGGAAGCTCAGCCGTCTGGAGCACCGGCTCTGTGTGGTCCCTCCCCCAAGGCCACAGGGCGTGACTCCACGCATTGTTACCTGCGGCTCCAGAACCGACAGCTCCCAGTCTCCCCTCCAAAAATAGCCAGAGGAATGGACAGCAAAGGGTGGGGCCAACTACAAAGTTATCAGTGTTAGCTCTTAGCTTAGCAGCAGGGTGGAAATTGGCCAGCTGCTGGCTAGCAAGGGCCCGGGCTGGTATTTTGTTTGGCTTCTGTTCTCCTGGGTGGCATGCGTTCCACATGCTCTTCAAAAGGCAGTGAAACGTGGCAGGTGTTAAGCAGTTTGGTTCCTTGGCAGGGGATGTGGTTTAGCAGTTTCGAGTGTTTGCCTTGTGTGTATAAAGCCCGTGTTCCAATCCCTGCATCTCTCTCACACACACACACACACACACACACACACACACACACGTGTTCTTATTAAAATTAAATGAATGTGCCACTTTGGGGTGGTGTCGTCACTTTCTCTCTCTTCCCCCGCCCCCCTCCCATACACACGTTATTTTCGTCCATTTCATTGTCCGTGGCATTTTGGCCAGTACACACACAAACACACACATACACACACACACACACCACCACCACATGTTCTTATTGTCTGTGGCACTTGTGGCGGGTCCACACACACACGTATACACATTCTTAATTTCATCTGTTGCAGCGTCTGTGGCACTTGTGGCTGGTGGCTGCAGTGCTGGTCAGAGCACTCTGCCCAGGAGCCAGGATAGGAATATGTTTCCTGCATTTCAGTCGTGGAGTCTGACTTTTCTGCTCTTGTCACCGAAAGGGTAAAATGATGACCGAGAGAACCTTACTGAAGGAGCGCTACCGAGAGGTCCTGGACAAGCAGAGGCAAGTGGAGAACCAGCTTCAGGTTCAATTAAAGCAGCTCCAGCAGCGGAGGGAAGAAGAGATGAAGAATCATCAGGTACTCGGCCTGGCTCACGCTTGGGATGTTGTTTCTGAATGAGCAGGAGTGTGTGGGGTGTGTGGACCCCAGTTTCCGCACAGGGGTGTGGAGGCTGCCCCATAGCTGCCAAGCAGACGCCATCAAGGCGTCTGAGAATTGCCCTGACTGAGCCCAGTTCTGACATTGGCTTCCTGGCAACTGCGTGACCCCCGGAAAGTGGCTGCGTGTGACCCCAGCACCTCACCCATTGTGATGCAGTCACAGGCCCAGGTGGTCAGTGGTGTGGCTGACGTGGGCTCTTCCCCCAGACTGCAGACACCAGCTGGAAGCCCGGGTAGTCACTACCTGGCCTTCTGACCGACTGGCCATAAAGCCCACATCCCTACCCCCGACAGGTTGCGTTTGCTCGAGAGACCCACAGGACTAAAGAAGCTGTTTGCTCTCGGGGCACAGGTGATGACGGAAGAATAGAAGCAGGGGTGGGGGAGGAGAGCAGCCAGACCACGTTGACCTTGCAAAAGACCAAAGGCAGATGCAGACAGTATCTTAGAAAGTGAATTAACGTGGGGCTGGAGAGGTAGTACAGTGGGTAGGGCCTTGCCCCTTCTTGAGTGCAGAGCCAGGAGTAACTCCTGAGCATTGCCAGGTATGGTCGAAAATTAAAATAATGATAATTTTAAAAATAACCCACATATTGATAATTTTATAAAAGGTGGAATTGAAGTTGAATTAAGGGAGAGGATGCTTTAATCTTAATGCTTGTTAAATTTAATTTATTTTGGTGGGGGAGGTATGGGCTAATGCCAAAACTAAAATCCGAGACTTCATACAAGGCTTGTATGTACTTAACGGATCTATATCTCTGCCCATATTCTTTGATTCATGTATGTGTGTGAAGCATGTATGTGCGTATATACATAAATAGTAGAAGTAGTTTATGTACATATGCATTTAAAAGGTGAAAATAGAGCAGAATATAATAACCTCACACGTAACTAAGTAGAACCATAACAAAGCAAAACACGACCATATTTGTTGGCAGATCAGACCCCACCCTGTGCAAGACAGTCTGTCAGCATCTCTGACAGGTGTGCCTTCAGCCTCGTTTGAGCACCAGAAATGGAGAGTTTGGTGCTCTGCAAGGCAGGCAGTTTTCATTTCGGAATAGCTGTGATTGTTAGAAACTTGTCCTCCTGTTGAGTTGAGATCGGCTTTATTTAATGTTCCCATTCCCATTGGCATCCCGGCTCTCGGAGCTACTCATCAGCCAGGTTCCTTCAGTTCATTTGAATTCACTAAGTCAGAATGGAAGTTTGTGATAGTTGAAAATAACATTGAAAATAAGAGCGAATAATGTATTTCCTCCTTTGTGTGTTACTGTGATTGCTGGGACTCAGGAGATATTGAAGGCTATCCAGGATGTAACGATAAAGCGGGAAGAAACAAAGAAGAAGATAGAGAAAGAGAAGAAGGAGTTTTTACAGAAGGAGCAAGATCTGAAAGCAGAAATTGAGAAGCTTTGCGAGAAAGGCAGAAGGTAAATGATTCTGTTAAAAATATTCCGTAATTGTGTGTGTGTGTGTGTGTGTGTGTGTGCGCGCACGCGTGTGCGTTTTTCCTACGGGAATAGGCCTGTTTGTTCTGCTGGATTCTTTTCTTTTGACGTAATTTTATTGTTTGTCTTTTGGGGTTTTGGGCCACATCCTGCGATGCTCAGGGTTTTCTTCTGGCTCTGTGCCCAGGGATCACTCCTGGTGGGACTTGAGACCTTATGCAGTGCTGGGGGTTTGGACCCGGATTGGCTATGTATAAAGCAAGTGTGTAAGTGTGTGTGTGTGTGTGTGTGTGTGTGTGTGTGTGTATAAAATGTATACAGGAACGGAGCGATAGCACAGTGGTAGGGCATTTGCCTTACAAGTGGCCAACATGGCCGACCCAAGTTCGATTCCTCCGCCCCTCTCGGAGAGCCCGGCAAGCTACCGAGAGTATCTTGCCCGCATGGCAGAGCCCGGCAAGCTCCCCGTGACGTATTCGATATGCCAGACACAGTAACAACAAAGTCTCCAATGGAGACGTTACTGGGCCCACTCGAGCAAATCGATGAACAACAGGAGGGCCTTTACCTTTACCTTTATAATATATAATATATAATAGGGCTGGAGTGATAGCACAGCAGTAGGGCATTTGCCTTGCGCGCAGCCAGCCCGGCCGAGCCGGGTTCGATTCCTCCACCCCTCTTGGAGAGCCTGGCAAGCTACCAAGAGTATTCAATATGCCAAACACAGTAACAAGAAGTCTCACAATGGAGACGTTGCTGGGCCCGCTCGAGCAAATAATATATAATATATATGCTTTTTTTTTTTTTTTTTTTTTTGCTTTGGGTTACTCCTGGCGCTGCACTTAGGAATCACTCCTTGCGGGGCTCAGGGGACCATATGGGACGCCAGGGATCAACCCCTGGTAGGGCACCTGCAAGGCAAACGCTCTCCCCACTGTACTATTGTTCTGGTCCTTGTATTCTCATTTGGAGGGGGCTTTTGTGGGCCTCACCCCGTGGGGTGCTCAGTGCTTGTTCCTGGTTCTTTGCCCAGGAGTGACTCCTGGTGACCCTGGGGTGCCACGTATGGTACCAGGACTCCAGCTGGGGTCAGTGGGATGCAAGCCAAGCACCTTAACCCTATACTATCTCTCGACCTCTCGGAGTTTGTTATTTTTGGTGTGGCTCGTCGTTTTGGTCTTTGAGCCACACCTGGCAGTGCTCTTGGCTCTGTGCTCAGTGATTACTCCTGGAGGGCTCGCAGCCCATCTGGGGTGAGGAGGATTGAACCAGCAGTGTGCCGGGTGCAAAGCACGTGCCCTTCCCCTCTGTCCTGCTGCACTGTCTCTCCGCCCTGCTTGAGCTTGTTTTTAAGGGAAGCAGGGTTGGGCCACGCCTAGGGCAGCTCAGAGGCCGCTCCTGGCTCTGCTCGGGAGTCATTTCCAGCAGTGCTCAGGGAGCCATACACGGTGCCAGGGATCAGACCCGAGACTCCTGCGTGCAGAGCTGCCGACCCCCTCCCGCATCCCGGCTTTCGGCCGGAGCCGTCCCTCTTGACTCCCTGGTCCGTTCTGGTAGACCTGCACGGTAGCCCCCGCCGTCGGCCCTGTGTTGGGTTGAGTGAACTCATTTCCCACCACTCTTGCAGCTCCTTGAATGCCCAGCCTAGATTCTGGATCTGACACCTGAATTATTCCTTGACCATTGTCAGTTTTCTGTCTCTCTCTCTCTCTCTCTTTTCCCCGGGGGGGGGGGGGAGTGGGGACGGTGTGGGACTCACCCGGCAGTGCTCGGAGGCTTCCCCCAGCAGTTCCCGTGTCTTGCTGGGGGTAAACCCAGGACTCTGCCTGCACAGCACGCACTGCAACCTTTGACCCTTCCCCAACCCTTCCTTTTCCTTTCCCCGTGGTTCTGCCCTGGCGCGGCTTCCCCCATCCCTGCTCTGCTCCTGCCTGGCCTGCTGATAAGCTTGTGTATCCCAGGGTCAGTGGAAGTTGTGTAACACTGGCTGGATCCCTGGGCCCCCTCTGCCCCTGTGGGCTGTCCCATACTCGCATCTCTTTTTCAGTTGGTTTGTTTTGTTTGGGGGCCACACCCGGAAGTGCTCCGCATAGCCTGGCGACTGAGGGTCACTCCTGACAGTCGATGAGAAGCTGGGACCAAGAGGGGACCCAGACTGGGGGTGGGGGCGGAAGGGGACCTCTTATAGGCAAAGCCTGTGCTCTGCCCTTGGAACCGCCCCTTATGTCTGTCTAAAGGCCCCTTCCCCCCTCGAAGCCTCTCGTATCCTGCTTCCCTCTGTCATTCGTGGCAGGGGATCTTGCCTTTTATTTCATTGAAAAAACAGAGGTTATCCAGAAAAGTGTCTTTGAATTTCCTAATGATCAGCAGACATGCTGACTCCCTTTCTCTGTCCTCGTTTCTGTCTCCCTGTGTGTGACGCTAGCACTTTCTGAAGGCTCCACACACCCCTTAGAGCCGACCTCTGGTCTGTTGTATGCACCGTGCTTGTGTCTGTCCCTCTGTCTTTTTTTTTTGGTCACACCCAGTGATGCTCAGGGGTTACTCCTGGCTCTGCACTCAGGAATCACTCTTGGCGGTGTGTGGGGGGTGCTATGCAGTGCTTGGGGGGCCCTATGGGATGCCAGAGATTGAACCCAGGTCAGCTGTGTGCAAGGCAAATGCCCTACCTGCTGTACCATCACTCTGCCGCCGTCATTCTGTTTTCATATTTACACTCCAGCCGCTGCCTCCACTGCTGAGGCAGCCCCGAGAGGACACATGCTCTGGTGATCTGTTGGGTGTATTTGAAAAGATCCCTTAAAAACGTTAAGTGTTCAGACAGGAATGATGGCTTGCACCTTTTTGGCCTGGTCCATTCTCACTGGACAGTCCTGCGCATACCCTGGAGTCGTTCTGGAGTTCTCGTGCTTGGCAGGGATGTCTCGAGGAGTGACCTGGAGGGGTCAGGCCCTTCTTGCCCTCCCTCCAGGCTGTCTGGGTGCTTTTGTCCCCTCCGGGTAGTCTTCCTGGCCTGGGTGCCGGGTTTCCTACGTTGTCACTCAGAGCTTCCAAGAAGGCTGGAAAGGCGTTGCCAGGCGGACTCCAGGCATGCGTGGGCTTCGAACAGGAACAGTGCTGCTTTGTGGGGATTCCACTGGCAAAAATATGTCACAGGCCAGTGTGGTGTCGGGAGAGTGGGACGACAGAGAACCGGAGCCCAGAGACCTGGTTCGTAGGGAGGCGCCCATGTGTGCAGTTTGATACCACAAGTACTGCCTCCTCTTTTACTCTCCCTGCTTAGCACGTGATAATAGTTTCTTTTAGAAACAGAACGCATGAAAGTCCTAGACACAGGAGATGCATAATTGGAGATTTGTTAGAAATATGCTAGATGAATTACAGGGAGCGGCTGGGACGTCAGCCACTACATTTCTCATGGAGAGGGTTTGGAAAGAACGTTCTGAGGCTCGTGGTGGGGAGATGGAGAGGCAGAAATGAATTCCAGAGGAACCAGTGTCTGATTAATTTAAGGATTAGGACAGGAAAAAGCAGAAAAATGACTTACTTTTGTTTTTGTTTGGGGACTTAGGGGTTACTCCTGGCTCTGCATGCAGGAATTACTCCTAGCTCAGGGAACCATGTGAGATGCCAGGGGTTGAACCCAGGTTGGCTGTATGCAAGGCAAGCATCCTACCCACTATTCCGGCCATCGGGCCCTTATGAATGCATTTGTTGTGGGATAAACCAAAAGGGTCAAAAAGAGATTCAGGACTGGCTTAGCCCGTGCTTCCCTCAAACCCCTGTCTCACTCCTTTGTCTCTGGTTTTTTTTTTTTTTTTTTTTTTTGGCCTATTTCCACTCTGAAGAGCCCTTGTTTGCTCTTAAACATATGCTTCTGTCTTTCTCTCTCCTCTCATCTTTCTAGGTAAGTTTCAACAAAAAACTATCTTGCTTCACAGAGAGCGGGAGGAGGGGTTCAGAGCTCACAGAATCCAACTGAACCTTGAAATTCGCTTGGGTGATGTGAGCATCTGGTATGTTTGCTGCTAAGAATTCACACTCAGCGTCATCTCAAATGACTCGCTGGTGCCAGTACTAAACGACTGTGATCAAAATAGCAAGTCTCCCCCATCTATAGATTTATCTGTGTGTCAGATGACAGTTTCAGAGACGAGATCGTCCGCGTTCCAGCCACATCCTTGCCGACTCGCTATAGTACAAACCCATGGTGCCGTTTCCAAGGTCCTGTTGCAGGGCCGGGGCATTCGTGCGCATGGGGGGACACAGGCTTCGTGTCCAGGCGTTCCTGGTTCCGTCCCTGCCCTGTACCATCCCCCCCACAGGCTCTGCTGCAAGTAGCCCCAGAGCATCACCACAGGGGACCTAAAAATAGATTAAAACAAAAATGTTTCATTGCAGAATCATAAAATGTGCTGGTGTCTGCCCAGGTGTCCGGAGAACTCTGAAGTCCGACAGTCTGAGTTGCATAGAGGTGTGTGCTTGGTCACAGTGTGGGTAGTGTAAGCCGGTCAGTAAGAACCAAGGTTCTAAAGTGCTGAGCAGAGTGCTTCGGCTCTGGAAAGTGGTGGGAGACACACCAGTGCGGGCAGCAGGTGCGCAGGTAATGCTGTGGGGGTCAGTGTCGCAGCCGGCCTGGCCAAACTGGCATCGTTCAGGGCCTGGTCGCGTCCCATGTCACTTTGAAGACCTCGTCGACAGTGTGAAGTGAGGACTCGGGGTCTCGCGAGATGAGTGTGTGCTCTGTAGACCATGCCCTCTGAAGACTTGCGGCACCGTAAGCAGCTTTTCCAAACGAGTCCTGCGGCCTTGCTACTGTCCCGTCTCTGCTCTCCCCACTGAACTGCCCTGCCACTGCCGAGGCTCACTGCTCACATCTGCTCTGTTTCTTGCGTGTGCTTCCTGACCGTTGTATTGTGCAGGGGTATGTGCTCAGCAGTTCTTGAGGACCACCTGGTGGACCAGGCCTGGTGATGCTGGGGACAGGGACTTGCAGTGTCAGGATTACCATTTGCTGGCTCCACCCAGCGGGGGCCACGTTCTTGTCCCGCACGGACTATTATGGTCTACCCAGACTTCCTCATTTCTTCTTTTTTTTTTTCTTTTTGGGTCACACCTGGTGATGCACAGGGGTTACTCCTGGCTCTGCACTCAGGAATCACTCCTGGCGGTGCTCTGGGGACCATATGGGATGCTGGGGAATCGAACCTGGGTTGGCCATGTGCAAGGCAGACGCCCTACCTCCTGTGCTATTGCTCCAGCCCCCAGACTTCCTTATTTCTTTTGCTGCCCTGACAGGGCTGGACTGTGAGCGCCCTGGGGCTGGGAACTTTGTGGCCTTGGCTGTTAGCAGGAGGGCTGCCTGTTGGCTGCCCGGGGGGATTCTAGCCTCCTAAACAGTATGTTTGCCATTCTGCTGATGGAATTTCTTTCTGTTCATGTCTGATCTCACTCATTCTACGTTGGTTTGTATTAGCTTTCGTTCAGAGCAAAGGGTTTCACAGCCGACCTCAGATTCAGGAGAGGTACTCCCGTAACTCAGCCAGCAGGATTTGTTTTATTACTTTTTGCCTGGCTTACTAACATGTTCTGAGAGGAAGGTGCTTGGCATGAGGGTTTATATCTTAATATTTGTATATTTATTGCTTTTGGGTCACACCCGGTGATGCAGAGGGGTTACTCCTGGTTTTGCACTCAGAATTACTCCTGGTGATGCTCAGGGGACCATATGGGATGCTGGGAATCGAACCCGGGTCAGCCGTGTGCATGGCAAACGCCCTACCCGCTGTGCTATTGCTCCAGCCCCTATATCTTAATATTTAGTTTCTATTTCTTTGAGTCTTTTTTTGGTTGTTACTCGTTTTTGTTTTGATTTTGTTTTTGAAGCAATATGTTGATTTTATTTTGTAAAAATTTTTAAAATTTACTTTTATAAAGTTGTTCACAATAATTTGATTACATTCAATGCTCCCAACACCAATCCCACCACCATTACACTTTCCCACCACCATGTTTCAAATTATTCCACTTCGATCCCCAAAGCCTTCCCCCAAAGCAGAATCTAGATAATTTATTTTGTACTGCTTGTTATGAACAATAGGCTAAAGATTATTGGGAAAAGTTTCCTTAGAGGAAAATGTGTGAAGATTGTTACATCACCCTGGAGCGATTAAGCCCTTGTATAGAGTAGAAGATGTCACACAGCCACATTTGTGGCCGCACACTCCAGGAATTTTAAGATTTTAAATAGGGTGATAGAGTTAGAATTAAATGTTTTCACTGATGGTGACTTTGGGGTCCCCAGGCATTTCTGTGGTGTGTTGCTCTCTTCCTCTTCCAAGGTTCATTTGTGAGTCTCTGGCTCATGGCAGTTAATGAGCTGTAATTGCACCAGAGGCAGTTTGTGGGCGTGACTGCCAGGCCGTGGGAAGCACAGGGAGGTGGGGGGAGGTAGCCCATTCCCGACTTTGTGGGAGCCTGGAGATTTTGGTCACAAGTCCCGCGTACATGGGTTTTTCATCAGATTCATTCATGGAGGAGGCTCGTCTGAACCTGTGGAGGTGGGCTGTGAGAAGGTGGTGATGGGGTTCTGGGGGTTTCTGGCTGCTGGGGCTTGTTGGGGCAGTGGTGGGACTCGCCTGCTCCGCTCCACGTTCCCGGATGAGACAGCCTGGTGCAGGGTCCCGTGGCATCTCTGCGGCCTGTTTCTCAGTCTTGAGTGTCTGCCATTCTCCATGAAAATCACCCAGTTTTCACCTTGGGAGGACACAGGCCTATCAGTTTTAGCTTCTGTGAAGGAAGGGTTGTGATGTGCCGGGTAATTAATGCGTATTGAGCTCTCGTGTGTGCCATAGGCTGTCATTTCGTGTGTGCCACAGGCGGTCATTGGTGTTATGAAGATGGCTCATAACGGTTCTGTGAGAGATGTATTCTTCTCTTACTCGTATTTTACTTCAGAAAAATGGGGCACGGAAAGAGTCAGTCATGTGCTAACAGTTGTTGCAAGAGAGAAATTAGGTCTGGATTTAAAGGCAGCGACTGGGATAACTCGGTGGCTTTGCTCTCAACCACGATAAGCAGCTTTCCCCTCAACTTCAGTCCAGTATCCTCATTAGCCTGAGGTACTGCCCATGTCCCGGTGCTTACGATAGCATTATTGATAATTGTGAAAGTGGAAATAACTGGGACACCTAAATAAATACTGCTGTATATGTACTATGGAAAGTTATTTTTAAGATCACATTTTTAAGAAGATGGACAGGTGCATTAGGCTGTAAAAATAAGAGGAAAGGTTTTTGTTTGAAAAGTATATATATTGAAATTTGCAAGTTGCCTATATATAAATATATAAATATATTCATTTTTTGCTGGGCCCACTCAAGAAAATCGATGAACAACGGGAGGATAGTGACAGTGACAGTGATAAGAAATTAGATTTTTTGGTTTGTGGGCCATACCCAGAAGTGCTCAAGGATCACTCCTGGCATTGCTTAAGGGACCAGCTGGGGATCGTACCCACCTGCATGCAGAGCAGATGCCCTCTCTGATCTGCTCAGGGAGTGATCTCTTCCTCCCCGGACTGCCCTGCTGCCCTTTTGTGAAGTCTGATGGGGAGGAATCAGGTGTGACGGGAACCCCAGCTCAGTGCTTCCCTCCTCTGGTCCGGATAACTCGAACCCTTCGTTGGCTGAGTCCTTCGTCATCCTGGGACACAGCCGGTCTGGTGCTCAGGCCCTTGCCTTTCCTCTCCTCAGTGTTCTGGGTTTCTTGCCTTCCAGAGAGGTGTGGGAAATGGAGCTGGATCGACTCAAGAATCAGGATGGTGAAATAAATCGGAACGTTCTGGAAGAGACAGAGCGGGCATGGAAGGCAGAGGTGAGTCGACTGCGTGCTGAGGCCCCGGTCTTGGTCTCCTAGATGGGACGTGCTCTCGGTCCTGCGTGGCACCATTAGCCTCGGAAGTATTTACCATACAGCCTCGCACCTTCTGCTTTAGTTATCTAGCGGGAGCCTTGTGTATGTGCAGTTAATAATACGTGTGTGTGTGTGTGTGTGTGTGTGTGTGTGTGTGCTCGCGGTTTCCTTAGATCTTATCACTGGAGAGTCGGAAAGAATTGCTGGTGTTGAAATTAGAAGAAGCAGAAAAAGAAGCAGAATTGCACCTTACTTACCTCAAGTGAGTACCTTCCCGTTCTGAGAGGCGTTTCTTCAATTTATCCCTGAACCTGTTGCTCTGGCCTTTCGTCAAGACGTCTGTAATTGCATTAATAGTTGTTCTGTGATTTCTCTTGCTCTCCTATGAAACAGGGCTTCTTAACTTCCTTGAGAAATGCCAGAAATACATGGCAGTTGATTTGGAATAGGTGCAGGTCATTGCGAGTTCAACATAACTCATTACCGCTGCCCAGTTTGGGGGCAACATCCGCATTCACTTATGTGCCCTTCAGCCTAAAGCTAGGATCTCAGGCACGGCTTTCCAACCCTTTTCCCCCGTGGACTGGCAGCTGAGAACCACCGGGACTGAGTGGTCACTTTCCCTCTAAGCCCTGTGAGTCACGGACACGTCCTCTCTCTCCCTTCCAGTTTTCTTACTGCATCTGTGTCTTGGTCTCATTTCCAGTTGCGTACGCTTTATCTTTTATGCCAGTAAAAGCATAACAGATGTCGGGTGGGCTGGAGCAACAGTGCAGCAGGGAGAGCGTTTGCCCTGCACACAGCCGACCCAGGTTCGATCCCCGGCATCCTTCTGGTCCCCCGAGCACCACCTGCGTGCAGAGCCGGAGTAACCCCTGAGCATGGCTGGGTGTGGCCCCAAAACAAAAACAACAACAACAACAGAACCCCAGAAAAAGCAGAACAGATGCCTGGGGATTTGATTCCCGTAGTCGCTTCTCTTTCTGAGAGTGCGTGCTCAGGCAGGCGGCGACCTGCTTCCAGGCTTGCCCTTGCTCTCCAGTACCGGCCCGGTACCAGCCGAGGCGGTGCTAGAGTGGGAGCCAGCGAGGCAGACCCTCAGAGCCGGGCCCTCCTGCCCGCACCTGCTCCACCCCCCACTACCCCCCCCCAGCCTGCTTGGTCATCCTGGAGACTTTCACTCTGAAAATGACTCTTGGTTCCTTGGAAGGTCGACACCCCCGACACTAGACACAGCTCGGTCCAAACAGGAGTGGGAGACCAGGCTGAACGGAGTTCGGATCATGAAGAAGAACGTTCGGGTGAGCCTAGGAGTGGGCGGCCTGGCGGCGGGGCTGCTCCGTGCGGGCCCTGTGGCACCCCCACAGCCGCTGTTGGCATTGCCCGGTGGGGCTGCCGCCTCCCAGGGCCTCCTGGCCCCGGATGGTGCTCTCCACTCAGCTCCGCGCCAAGGGCGCCTGCCTCTCTCTCTCTCTCTCTCTCTCTCTCTAGGACCAGTTCAATAGCCACATCCAGCTCGTGAGGAACGGGGCCAAGCTGAGCAGCCTTCCTCAGATCCCCACCCCCACGCTCCCTCCACCCCCCTCAGAGGTAGGTGCACGGGCGGGAGGCGTGGGGGGGAAGAGGGGGCGGGAGCACCTTGATCTGGTGTAAGTGGCTCCTGGGTTTCTGCTCCAGCTTCCTAAACTCGCGTTTCCTCCCGCCTTGTCCCCCTCTCCTGCCCCTGCAGACAGACTTCCTGCTTCAGGTGTTCCAGCCCAGCCCCTCCCTGGCTCCTCGGATGCCCTTCTCTCTTGGGCAGGTCACAGTGCCCATGGTCATGCCCAGTGCAGATCCCCGGCCCTTGTCTTTCCCGATCCTGAACCCCGCCCTCTCCCAGCCCGGCCAGCCCTCCCCGCCCCTTCCCGGATCCCACGGGAGAACTAGCCCAGGCTTGGGTTCCCTGGTCGGCCCCCACGGCCCACACATGCCCCCTGCCGCCTCCGTCCCGCCTCCCCCAGGCCTGGGCGGTGTTAAGGCTTCTGCTGAAACTCCCCGGCCCCAGCCAGTCGACAAACTGGAGAAGATTCTGGAGAAGCTGCTGGCGCGGTTCCCACAATGCAATAAGTACGTAGGGCCCAGGGTCAGCGTGAAACGGGCTTGTCACCCGGAGTGGGTCCGTGGGTTCCAGATGTTCCCTGCCAGTCCCTCGAGTCTAGCGTGAATTCTCCCTCCTGTGACGTTTCTCCCTTCCCAGGGCCCAGATGACCAACATTCTTCAGCAGATTAAGACGGCTCGTAGCACCATGGCCGGCCTGACCATGGAGGAGCTGATACAGCTGGTGGCTGCTCGCCTGACGGAGCATGAGCGGATAGCAGCGAGCTCCCAGGTGGGCCCCGCTGGGATGGCAGGAGGTGGGGGGGTCGCTGCGAGCTCCCAGGTAAGACGGCCCCTCTGCGATGGCAGGAAGTCGGGGTAGCCACAAGCTCGAGGGAGCGCCGTAGGAACTGAGGGTGGGAAGCCGGGCTGTCGGCTCCATGCCCTGCCTTCGGGAAAGTGACCCGCGTCACCTGCTCTGTGCTCCGCTCTCGCCCTGAACTCTGGTCATCTTCTCTTTCTGCCCACAGCCGCTCGGTCGCATCCGGGCCTTGTTCCCGGCTCCACTGGCCCAAATCAATACTCCGGTGTTCTTGCCTTCTGCCCAAGTCTCCTACCCTGGGAGGTCTCCACATGTAAGACTTTCTTGAAAGGGACCCGGCGAGGCCGGAGGGTGAGGGCGCACAGGTGGCGCTCAGGAGGGGCCTTCTCATCCGCTGGGGTGTCGGCAGCCCCCGAGCAGGCGGGGGGCGGGTAGGGGAACACAAGTACTTTTCCAACACAAGACTCTGTTGAACTTTTATTTCTTGCGACGCAAACACTTTTGACTTGGTGCGAAGGTTCTGTGAGCTTACACTCGCTGTGAGCTCCTGGGCAGGAGCGAGGCGCCCGCCGGCCCTGCCTTCTCCACTGTCCTCTCTGCCCCGCAGGCTCCGGCCACCTGTAAGCTGTGTCTGATGTGCCAGAAACTGGTCCAACCCAGCGAGCTGCACCCCATGGCGTGTTCCCACGTGCTGCACAAGGAGGTCAGTGCCGCCCCCACCTCACAGTCCACTCTGGAAGCCGGGCCCCGTGCCACGGCTCAGACGCTCCGTCATCTCCGGTCTTTAGGCATAAAGGTCACTGGCACCGCGCTATTTCCTTTTACTCTCTTCCCTTCTGGGGACCGGATGGGAAAACCATCTCAGAGCAGTGATGTGCCATTTTTTTCCTTTGAGTCTCCCCACTCCTCCCACTCACCAGGGGTTGGACCTAGGGCCCCACACACGCAAGGCCAGTGCCCTGTTCCTGCCCAGCTACACCGCAGTGCTCAGCACAGTCATTGCAAATTGACAGTAAGATGCGCGTGTCGCGTGTCTGTCCATGTTAACTTAGCACCACTGCATTGGTTGCTTAGAAAAGAGGAGTGGAATCAGGAATCTAGTAGTCAGTAACTTGCTTGAAGGTCTGTTCGAGATTATGTTCAGCAGCTGCTGGGTTATTCCTTCCCTGCTCCTATTACCAGATAGAGTTAAGTCTCTTAGCGGCAGGGCTGAGGCCACCTTGATTATTTCAGTTTGGGGTGTGTGTGTGTGTGTGTGTGAGAGTGTGTGTGCGCGCGCGTGCACGCTTTCCCAGTGAAGTAGAAATCGAATTTATAACTAAATTTTTGGTGAGGGAATGTCCTGAGTAAGATTTGAAGGTGAGGGCCTAGAGAGATAGTACAGCAGGGAGGGCGTTTCCCTTGCACGTTGCCAACCTGAGTTCAAACTCAGGCACCCCAGATGGTCATCGTCCCCCTCCCCCCAGTATCACCAGGAGTGATTCCTGAGTGCAGAGCCAGGAGTAACCCCTGAGCATCGCTGGGTGTGCCCTGCCCCACCCCCCAAAAAAGCAATAAGTTGAGGGTGATGGGCGTTGGAAGGTGGAGAGGAGAGACCGGTGGGTCCTGAGGAGGCACGAGCCATGCAGAGAGGGAGTCATCACTGCTGTTTGCTGCTGCGCTTGTCTTCTCCAAAACAGGCTCAGCTGCTCTCAAGTTTCTTGAGGAGTAAAAGCCGACAGAATGGCCCCTCCCGCCCCGGGTAATGGTTTGCTGACTCAGCACGCGTTCTGCAGTCTGCAGCCTTTCGAGTCTCTAGGCCAGGCGCTCGCTCCCTCCTTCCCTCCAGTCTCCCCCTATAAACCTGAGCCCTGTCTGTCTGTCTTTCTTTTCAGTGTATCAAATTCTGGGCCCAGACCAACACAAATGACACTTGTCCCTTTTGTCCAACTCTTAAATGACGGAGCCGACAGGGGAGGACGCCAAGGAGAGACTGATGTGAAGCGCGGGTTCAAGATTTCTAAGACTCTATATTTATACAGCAACATATCCTCATGCCATGTACATTTCTATTATATAGGTAACGTGTGTATAGAAAGTCTGTATTCCGATGTTTGTGAAATGAAAGTGTGTATATCATGCAGAAATGGTCGGTCCCCCTCCACCCGCAGTCCCAGCGGAGGGGTGGGGGGGGCTGGGGGCTTCCGAGCATTTGACAGGTGAGGTCGCTTGTCCTCACGCCCTGCCACCCTTGCCTCGGGCTGTCCCAGACCCATGGACAGCCCCTCTGGGCGGCTGCCATTGCTCCGGGCCCTTCCCCGTTCTTCAGGCTCCTGTGAACCCTGGTGCTCACTTGCTGTCCAGCCGGAGGCTTTGCCTGCTGGGAGCCCCCAGGAGCCTCAGTCCACTCCCAGCAGAGAAAACGAGACCAGCTGAGGACAAACCTGTCGCCCACGAGTTTGTCTCCTTATCGGCTCTTTTCCCATGCCGATGTTCATTCTCTGTACTGAGACATGCGGCCCACACGAGTCTGACATCAGCAAAACTCACAGAGCCAGGCTCCGTCCCCCCAGCCCCCCACTACCCTCTTCCCCGGCCCTGCCCACTCGAGGCCCTAGGTCCTCTTCTCTCTAGGGACTGGCCTCACTACAGTCTGTGGGTTCGCGGCCCCCTCTCCCTCTCTCCATGGCCTCTGCTCTCAGCTCAGGAGCCCCTCTCCCGCTGAAGGTCAAGGCCAGGTGTGTGTTGGGTGGGGGGCTCGCGTGAGCTGTTGCGGGACTCTCGGGGGAGGAGAGGTCTGTGCAAGATTACTCTCTCAATCACCTTGGGGTCCTGAGCTTCTGACTTTTGAAACAGGAAGCTAAGCAGGCTGTCCCGGGGAGCTGGCGACTGAGGGATATGGGGCCATCCAGTCTGTCCCTGGGCCGCTGTGAGCTCGCAGGGACGCCGGTGGAGCGCTGCGGGTCTGAGCTTCCCAGCCTCAGTTCTGCCCTTTGGTCTTTGCTCCTAGAGGAAATGGCTTCCACTCCCTTCACTCCTGGAATTCAATAAAAATTAAGTGTTAATAGAGCAAAATTAGCTCCAGGGCAAGGGCATCCATCCTCTCAGCTATGACATTTCTCTCCTCCGGGCCTGCAGAGGCTTCCTGACCCCGTGGCCCGCCCCCAGGGCTGCTCGGACCTTCCCTGCCCGACCTCTCGGCTCCTGTCTGCTCTTTCCTCCTTCCCGGCTGCCTTCTCTGCTCCACCCGGCCTTTTTTGTTCCCTGGCCCATCACAGGCACCTCTTCTCTTCTCTGCCCCTCGGGGCTCCGGCTTGTTAGCGCCAGTTGAAGGAGCTGGACTCGGGGGCTTCCTTGGCATGTTGTAGAGACTGAAGCGTCCCCAGCAGCCCCTCTGGAGACGTCTGTGGCCCTCCCTCCTGGCTCACGGGAGCTCTGTGACTCCTGAGCTGTCACACGTGGCCAAATGGAAGACTGGCGCCTCTGCCCGTTGCTCCTGCAGGGGTGCGGGTGGAGGGCGTTCTTTTCTTTGCAGTCTGCAGATTCTCTCTCTCCGTACCCGCGGGCAGCCTTTGGGCTGCCTGCAGTGTGTTTCATCTGACCTGGCAGGTTTTAAGAATTTGTATACTCACATCAGACGTGTGTTTCTGGGGCACGAGCGATAGCACAGCGGGTAGGGCGTTTGCCTTGCACGCGGCCGACCTGGGTTCGATCCCCAGCATCCCATAGGGTCCTCTGAGCACTGCCAGGAGTAATTCCTGAGTGCATGAGCCAGGAGTAGCCCCTGTGCATCGCCAGGTGTGACCCAAAAACCAAAAAAAACCAAAACGTGTTTCTTTCCCACCAATCTTTGGAGCCAGTGGAAGGAAGAAAGTACGGAATGAATTGGGGGAATGAATTGGGGGTGCTTCTCTCGGTCCTTGAGGCCAGGGTCACGGTAGGAGGGGCGGGTGCCTCCCCCGGCTGCCCTTGCTCCTTCCCATTCAGCATCAGTCACAAAGCAAGGCTTAGGGAGCCCCTCTTCCTCTTCCTCCCTCCTCCCTCTCCCTTCTGCACGTGGGCCTGCGGGGAGGGGCACGGGCCTACCCCCACCCTGTGGGGACGGTCCCAGAAGCAGCGAGAGGAGACGCAACATCTGTTCTGGAGTAGAATTTACAAATAGAGATATAATACATATTTTTACAAGCAGAAGCTGTTGTCAAGCTTTTTTCTTTTTTACACTTAAAGAGTTCCTACAGCTCCGGGGCCAGCAGGAAATGACGCCCTTGTAAGGAGAAATGTAAAGACCCCCCAGGATGGTGGGAGTTGGTAGCGGCGAGGGCGGGTCGTGTGTCCCACAAGAAGCCGGCGTGGGTAGAAATTACAGATCCGACGGCATTTTCGTGTCACGTAGCAATTGTGGAAGTTTATTTACACAGGAAGTCCTGGGCTGGAAGTAGACAGTGTCCAGCCTTCCTGCCCGGCCGGCCACGTGGCTCCCGGGGGGTTCGGCGTCCCAGCAGCCCGAGCAGCACCAGGCGCGTTGGGAATGAAAAGAACCCAGATTTAAAAAAAAAAAAAAACGGACTCATGATTCTCGTTTTATTAGTTTATGGCTTGTGGGCGTCCCTCCCCCCTCACCAGGTGAACCCCCAGCTCCAGGCCCCATCCTCACCCGATAGGCACAGGGGGTCCGCGGGCCTGCTTGGCAAACGCAGCTGTTCCCACTAACGCTGGCATCGGGTCAGCTGAGACACGGTCCCACCACCCGGCCCGCTTCCGGGCGTGGGGAAGAGCAGGGAAGGGGCCCGGTTCTGCCCCGCTCCAGCCAAGGCCAGGGCCAGGGAGAGGGGGAGAAGGCAACGAGACAGCGGCCGGGCTGGTCTGCACACTCCTCACTCCGGCCCCGCGGGGGAGCCCTGGCAGTGGCCGCTCGGGCTCAGCCCGGCACCACGCCCCTGCCCGCTGGGCAGGAGGGGTCTCCTGGCCTTGCCTCGTGGCACCTCGACTGCAAAGCTCCAGAGGGGTAAGGATGGCGCACAGGAGGAGACAAGCGACCAGGAAGACGGAGCACCCCTGCCGCGTCCCCAAGGACCTGGGGTGCAGGGGTGTGGTGGGTCAGCGCTGCTGGGTGGAGAGGAGTGCAGGGCTGGGGGATCTGGGGGTGGGGGCAGCTGAGGGAGGAATCCACTGCTCGAGTGGAACTTCTCAGTGGGCACTTTACAGAGAGCTGAAGAGAGCCAGGGACTCCCCAGGGCCGCCCTCCCACCCGACATCCGGTCAGGCGTCCAGAGAGCCCAGGTCTCACTGGCCGATTCAGTCCAGGAGCTGCCGCCTGAGACGCAGCCGGTCCACCCTGCTTCGGCCTCTCCTTTGTCCTCGAGTCCTCCGTGGGCCGCACCATCGGTCCCAGGATCCTGCCTGGCGGTCTCAGTTCAGTTCCGGGGGTAACTCAGCAACCGTCCCTGGCCAAAGCCATCGCAGACTCCCCGCGACCCTGAGGTCGGCGACGGTGTGGGCACGACCCGCCTCCTCCCGCGAGGGGCCACAGGGCAGAGGGCCAGGGCGGCCGGCAGGTGCGGGGTGAGGTTCCGAGCAGCAGGTTCCTCAGCTCCTGTCTGAGGTGACCCGGAGCCGTCCAGGCCCCCAGCGCACCCCCGCACGCCACCCGGTCTCCTCCAGCAGGGCAGCCGGGGTGGGCCCCCGCTGGCCGCGTGCCCACCGCCCGCCTCACTTGAGCAGGGAGATGTCGTCGGCGAAGTCGTCCTGCTGCTGGCGCAGGCAGCGCAGACAGCGCCACTGGCACAGCATGAGGCAGAGCGGCAGCATGAAGAGGGCGCAGATGGCCGCCATGACGTAGGCGATGGTCATCAGCGTGGACTCGTCCGTCTGGGGGATGTTGTAGCCGCAGTCCTCCATGTCCGCCGTGACAAAGGGGCCCTCCACGGCCGCCGTCCGGAACTCATCGTGCACTGTGGGGGATGGAGCAGGGAGGGGGGGTCAGAGCCAGAGAGCAGGTTGGGGGGGGCACCCAAGCCCCCTGTGACTGCCCCCACGGCTGCTGCACCAGCCCCCGGGCCACGTGGGAGTTGATGGGCACCGGAGGGTCAGTGCTGCCCTGGGATCTGGGGCATGCGCAGGCTGTTCCCGCTCGGGGCCTTTCGCCAGGTGACCAGTGCAGGCCGTCCCCGGCTGCACCCCCACACAGCATGGCATGACACGGCATGGCATGGACACGCACTCTCACACAGCAGGCGGGGCAGGAATGCTCCCGCCCAGCTCCCCGCTCCCTGGCACGCTGACCCAGGGGGGCTCACCGTGGCACGTGCTGACAGCAAAGCCGATGCGTTTCCGGGCACGGTCGAAGACCACGTAGAAGCCCTCCATGATGACGGCCCCCATGACAGTGCCCGTGGATGACTGGGACACGGCAAACTTGTAACAGTCGTCCTGCGACGTGGCCACGTCCTCCACTGGCCGCAGGTATTGCTGCGGAGAAGCCAGTCAGGGCGGTCTGTCTGCCTCCACCGTCCTTCACCCCATCTCGACTGATTCTGGGGAAATTGGTCTGGGGGTCGCCCCTAGGTCTCCGCGTCCAAGGCAGACCCTTGGCCATGTTGCTGCTTCTCTGCCCTGTCCCTGCCTCCGAGGGGTCCTGCGGCCGTCCTGTCCTTTGCCCTCCCTGTCCCTCGCCGCTGTGGGAGCCAGCTGGGTTCTCTAGAGCCCTCTTCCTGAGACCCCCGACGCTGGTGGGGACCTACCTGTGGCAGGATGGTGATGCGGAAGGACTGGTTGGTGACCTCGCCCATCAGATAGAGCGAGATGACCGGGAAGATGTTCCAGGGGGTGGTGCCTGCCTGCCAACACACCAGCTGCTCCCCGAGCCAGAAGCCATCCGGAAACTTCTCTGTCTGTGTGTGGGGAGGGGCTCCCAGTGAGGAAGCAGCTCCCGCCTTCTCCCTTCCCTCCCTGCACACAAGCCCCTGCACGTGTGCGCATGCACGTGTTAGTGCATGTATATGCGTGCATGCATGTGCATAAGTGCATGTGTGTATGTGCGTGCATGGGTGTGTGTGCATGCATGTGTGTGTCCATGCACATGTGTGTGTGTAGGGGGCATGCCAGGGAGGGAACCCGGAGCGCCTCAACAGCGAGACACACTCTGAGCCTCGTTGCCAGACCTGTCCCGGCCCTCTGCTTGTCTGTAGAAGAACAGACATGCACGGGGGCTGGGGGACATGGGGAAGGGTCAGCTGTGTGAGAGAAAACGGAGGCCCCAGGGAGAGGAGCTCCGGGCACTCCACGGCAGCAGGGTTGGGGGAGCCGCCTGCCCAGCCCCCCACAGGCCACTCACCGAGGAGGCGGCCTTAATGGACTTCACGGCAGCCTCAAACACCTTCTTGGGCAGGCGGAGATTGGTGGTGCCACTGTCCACGATGCTCTTGTCGTAGTTGTACTAAGAGCGGGAAGACGGGGGCAGAAAGGTCAGAGAACTTTGATTGGGGGCGGGTGGTGGCGAGGAGTGCATACCCAGTGCCGCTCAGGCTCCAGTCCAAGAAGCCAGCACTGAGCGCTCAGGACTGGGGTGGGGGTGAGGCTGGCTGGGGTGGTTGCGGGGGCATTCTGCTGCTGCCACTTCTTGAGGGCTCCCCACAGGCGACTGAGTGAACATGTGTGCCCCATTTCCTCGTCTCTACAGTAAGGATAATAATAGTTTGTATCGTGGAATTACTGTAAGAGTCAAATGAATCAACAGGCTTGTCCCACTTGGGCGGGGCCGGACATGAGGGGCATTCAGGAAATGCTGAGGGCTCAGCGTGGACAGACACTGTCCGGAACTTGAAAATAAACTATGGGGCGTGGGGGTGGGGGAGGGGGCGGCTTTCAACATTTCTTATTCTGTTTTTTGGTTTGGTGTGGGGGACACACCCGGCGATGCTCAGGGATTCCTCCTGGCTCTGCACTCAGGAATTACGTAGGGCGGTGTTCAAGGGATAATGGAGTGCCGGGGATCGAACCTGGGTTGGCTGTATGCAAGACGAATGCCCTAACCACTGTACTATCGCTCCTTTTGTATCTCCCTTTTGGGAGGGTTGTTCGGGGCTGACCCCTGGCTCTGCACTTGGATCCCTCCTGGTGGGCTGGGGGACTAATCTGGGTTGCCAGTGATGGGACAATGGTGTGCGAGGTCAGCAACCCTCCCTTGCTGTCCTGTCCCTCCGGCCCTTCCTCCGGTAGCAGACACTGGCTTTCTAGGTGAGGTCAGCCCAGACGGGTTGGCTGGCGTTCAACCACCAGGTCCTGCTATGCACTGCATTCTGGGAGAGCGCTCTTCACTTCCACTCCCTTCACTGCGATCTTTGGGAAAAAAATCTTCTCACTTTGCGTTTGCAGATGAGCAAACCAGAACACAACCTTGACCTGTCAGAGTGCCACTCGGGGAGCCGGGCTCAGGCAGCTTCCAGAGTTGTGGACACTTTTCCCCACCGCCTGACACTCTTCCCCACGGCCATGCCTGTACCCCCACATCCAGTTCCCCACCACCCCGTGGCCCCAGCAAGCGCCCAGCTCCCAGGCACTGACTGAGGCTCTGCAGCCCTGAGCCGCTGCCCCACCCACTCCTCACTCCGGGGGGCCTAGCCATGCACCCCCCACACCCCTTCTCACTTCCTTGCAGTCCATTCTCAGGTCCTGCCCGTTGATCTCCACGCGCACAATGATCACTTCGTAGTACCACTCACGCCGGATGGGCGTGTACCAGAGGCTGCCCGAGTACAGGGCCGGGTCAATGCCCCCGATGATCTGGGGAGAGGAGAGGCACAGACGGGGCAGTGAGGACCCAGGGGCAGAAGGGGCAGGCCCTGGCCACCCCACCCCCCTCTTCCCACCTCACGCCTGCTCAGAAGGGCCCACGGCCGAGACACTGCGGGAGTTTTCATGGTTTCTGAACCAAGCAATCCTTGCTATGGAAACATTTCACACTGAACATTGAAAACTTCCAATATGCCTTATGTGTTCCAGCAATACAAACTGGGCAGACACTTGGACCCTAAGTTCTCTCTTCTCTGCTTTATTTATTTGCTTTTTGGGTCACACCCAGCGATGCTCAGGGGTTATTCCTGGCTCTGCACTCAGGAATTACTCCTGGCAGTGCTCAGGGGATCATATGGGATGTTGGGAATCGAACCCGGGTCAGCCGCGTGCAAGGCAAACGCCCTACCTGCGGTGCTATCACTCCAGCCCCTCTGCCTTTTTAAAAAGGGGAATCTGTCACCATTTCTCCTGATCAATAGACCTTGTTTTTTTGGCTGGGGGAGGCGGGCAGTTGGACCACACTGGGCCATTCTCAGGGCTGACTCCTGGCTCTGCACTCAGGGATCTCTCCTAGGCTTGGGGAACCAGATGGGGTGCCGGGAATTGAACCCGGGCCCACTACATGCAAGGCAAGTGCCCTATGCACTGTATTATCTGTCTGGCCCTTAATTTAAGAGACTTTAGAATTCTGTCTTCTGATCATAAGACCCAACAATCTTTTTGTTTTGGGGTCATACTCAGCAGTGCTTAGGGGATACTCCTGACTCAGTGTTTGGGGATATCTCCTGGTGGTGTTTGGGAAACTAACTCGGTACTATGGACTGAAGCTGCTTTAAGCTATCTCCCCAGTCTCAGTCTAAATAATCTTGATTTAATAAGTCTCATTTTTTTTCTTTCCTTTTTTTGGGGGGCCACACCCAATGGTACAGAGGTTACTTCTAGCTCTGCACTCAGGAGTCACTCCCAGTGGTGCTCGGTGGACCATAAGGGATGCTCAGGGGACCATAAGGGATGCTGGAGATTGAAACCCAGGTCAGCTTCGTGCAAAAGCAAACACCTTACTGTCTGTTCTATGGCTCCAGCCCCTCACTTTCATTTCCTTTGAAATTTTCCTGGTCATCTATAACCGTACATCTCTCAGGAATTCTCTCTCTATAATAATGCCGGGGAAAACAGGATGGGAACAGAAACGGGGGTGTTGGGGGAGCTGAGGAGAAACTGGAAGATGTGTCTGTGGATTCTAATTGGGAGCCCAGGAGGGCACGGAGACAGGCAGCCCCCAGCTGGCAGGGATCCCCCCTCTGCAGGGCCCACTCACCATGCTCCCGCCCACGGAGGCCAGCGCCTCCGACTGGTTGAGGGGGAAGCCAGTGCCACAGAGCTGCAGGGAGAAGAGGTTGGGGACGTGCGTCTGCTTGACCAGTGAGTCAAAGAAAGGCTCCAGGGAGTCGTCGGGCTGTGGCAGGAAGAGACAAGGAGGGACTGTAACGGAAGAGGCCCGGCCACTGCCCGAGGAAACTGCTGGGGATGGTCCCCAGGAGAGACACCGCCCAGCACGGGAGGTCAGCGGCCGCAGAGGTGGGTCCAGACACCCCTAAATTCCCTGACCACCATGTGCAAGCCTGTTTCAGATCTTTGTATTTTTCTGTGTTTTGTTTTGTTTGGAGGGAGGGAACACCCAGTGGTGCTCAGGACTTGCTTTTGGCTCTGTGCTCAGGGATCACTTCTGGCAGGCTTGGGGTACCATATGGGGGGATGAGGATCAAACCCGGGTTTGGTCGCATGCAAGGCAAGTGCCCTACTCACTGTACTAATGGTTTAGATCTTTGTGGGCTTTTTTTGGTGGGGGTGGAAATAGGGGTCACACTTGGCATTACCCAGGGGTTACTCCTGGCTCTGCACTCAGGAATCATTCCTGGAGGTGCTCGGGATGCCAGGGATCGAACGCAGGTCGACGGCAGGTAAGGCAAGTGCCCTACCCACTGTACGATCTCTCTGGCCCCTGTTTCAGATATTTGAGGGGAGGCACAGGGACTAACCTCTGATTCTCTTTTTGGGGGGACCGCACCCAGTTGTTTTCAGGGGCTACGTTGGGCTCTGTGCTCGGGCTCCCTCCCACCAGTGCTTGCAGGTCACGGAGTGCCAAGGATGGAAGCAGGCCAGGCTGTGTGCAGAGCAAGCACCTGAACCCTCCTTGCACCGTGTCCAGGCCCCTCTTACCCTTGTAGGTCTGAGAGTAAATCGAAAGCATCTTCACTCCTGTGGTCACCCACAGTGTCCCTCAGGAGAGGGGTGCCTCCGTGGGCGTGTCATGCGACTGCCACCCTCTCCCCTCAGGCAAAGTTCCTCTTAAGGGATCGTTTTCCCTCGGCCTGTCCCCTCCGTCCTCCTCCCCGCCGCCCCATGTGGCGGGCCTCTCACAGCCCCCGTCCCTGGGGACCCCGCGCCCACCACACCCGGGCCCCTCACCCTGGCGATCTCGGCGTAGGCCAGCCCCAGGATGCCCTCCCAGTTGGAGCCGTTGATGAAAAACTTGTCTGACTCAGTGATGGCGGCGATGTTGGCACGCACGGTGACGTTGGGGCCGTGGGGGATGCTCACCAGGTCCGTGCCCAGCTCCCCTTCCCACTTGCCCTGGGTGTAGGGCACGTACACGCCCTTGCGGAGGTCCCGGTACGTGCTGGATCTGTGGGCAGGAGGCAGAGGTCTGGGCACGTGGCCGGTACTGGGGTCCAATCCCAGGTGGTTCCCAGTGCCAACCCTTCTCCCAGGAGTGCCCCACAGAAGCTGGGGGCTGCTCAGGCCGCTCCACGGCCCTTCCCCATGTGGCTCCTTGGGCACCGCCTGCCAAGGGAGCTTGTAAACAGATCGCCTCTGGCTGGGGCTCGCTGTCCCGTCTCCAGAGCGCCCCGTCCCCGATGCTTGCGGAACAGAATGGGGCTTTGTGTGCCGGGGATGTGGCTGCAGGGACAGCCCGCACCGGCCCCACTCCGAAGCGCCAGAGAAAAGGACCCTTTGACTCTCCTCTGCCTTGGGACCTGGTGGCACCATCTGAGGGATGTGCTCGGTGCCAGGCAGAAGGCACGGGGCTACCCAGAGGAGGGCCCTAGCCAAGTGTGTCAGCCGATGGGTGGGGTGCACACGTGTGTACAGCGGGCTCACCAACACACGAGCCGATCCCTGGGTTTAATTACCACTCGTATCTGCACACAAGTGTGTGCGTGCCTCTGTGTATGTGTGTATGCCTGTGTACTTGCATGTGCCTGTGTGCATGTGTTTGCTTGTAAGCATGTGTGTACCTGTATTTTTGTGCCTGTGTGCCTGTATGCGTGTGTGCCTGTGTGTTTGCCTGTATGCGTGTGTGTGCCTGTATTTTTGTGCCTGTGTGTATATGCATGTGTGTGCCTTTATACGTGTTTGTGCATGTGCATGTGTGTGTGCCTGTGTGAAGGTGTGTGTGTGTGTTTATGTGCTTGTGTGCATGTATATGTGTACCTGTGCATATGTGTACGCATGGGCTGAGGGCACTGGTCAGGTGGATTCCTGACACTGTCCTTTTTGGCCGCGTCCGACAATGCTCAGGGCTTTCTCCTGGCCCTGTGTGCTCAGGGAATCACTCTTTGCTGGTTCAGGGGACCACTGGGGATGCTGGGGATTGAACCAGGGTCAACTGTCTGCAAGGCAAACACCCTCCCCACTGTGTTATCACTCTGGCCCTTAATTCCTTCTCTTAAAAAATATTTGGGGGCTTTGGGCTGTCCTTCGAGGCTATTTGTGGCTCTGTGCTCAGGGGATCCTGTGGTAGCAGGAATGGAACCAGGATGGGCCGATATGAGGCAAGTGCTTCTCCCCCTATCTCTCAGGTCCCAATGCCTCCTTTGGACTGGCACCTTAAAGGGGAAGGGTCTGAAGATGCAGGAGATGGGGCCGGGGTCCTGGCTTCATCTTCTGGCACATGATCCGACCCTTTCTACACAGCGGTCACCACACACATTAGAAATCCTGCTGCTGCTTCCTACTTTCTTTCTTTCTTCCTTCCTTCCTTCCTTCCTTCCTTCCTTCCTTCCTTCCTTCTTTCTTTCTTTCTTTCTTTCTTGGCTTTTTGGGTCACACCCGGCGATGCTCAGGGTTTACTCCTGGCTTTACACTCAGGAATTACTCCTGGCAGTGCTCAGGAGACCATTTGGGATGCTGGGAATTGAACCTGGGTCAGCCTCATGCAAGGCAAACGCCCTTCCCGCTGTACTATCACTCCAGCCCAGCTTCCTACTTTTATTCCTGGTCACTCTTGCACCTTGACCCTGCTCCCAGCAGCAGGAAGTGGGCCTGCTGGGCACGGGGTGGAGCAGAGGACAGGTTCCTGCGCTGGGCAGGCCCTGGGGCTGACCCAAGGCTCACTCCACCTCCTTGAACTCGCCAAGACACAGCCCGTGGTCCCCCCAAAGTGGGCGCAGCAGGGGGCTGGCTTGCAGCTTAGACAGACCCTGTGGGTGAGGAATGAAGCCCCTACCTCCCATCAGGCAGATGGAGTGAGACCCTGAGACCTTCTTGGAGCCTTGACTGGTCCCCCCTGGCCCCGGGGCTGCGTCTCAATCCTAAAGAACCTCGTGACTGCCCCCTGCTCACTGGGTCCACCACTGGCGTCCACCATTCAGCACCCACCGCCTCCTTCCCCCCTCCTGAACCTGAGGGTGACCAGAAGGGCTCCGTTCCTCCCGCCTGTCCCCACTCCCAGACTCACAGCTGCCTCTGGTAGTAACGGTGCAGAAAAGGATGGGGGGCAGCGCCCACGGCGAAGTTACTGCTACCTGTGTCCACCAGGATGTTGAGCTGAAGGAGAGAGAGGGAGATTGTCACAGCTGGGCACTGCCTTCGCCCCTTCCTCATCCCACCACCCCACCCCCGGCCCTTTGTACATCAGAGTGAACCGTGACCCTGGGCTGAGCAAGCTGCTTGCTGCTTGTGCCAGGACCACTGAACTGGACCTGGACCTGGGTCTTCTCAGTGGCCAGCCCAGCGGCCCATTTCTTAGATTTTTTAATTTTGCTTTTTGGGTTACACCCAGTGATGCTCAGGAGTTATTCCTGGCTCATGCACTCAGGAATTACTCCTGGCAGTGCTCGGGGGACCCTATGGGATGCCGGGAAATGAACTTGGGTCAGCCGCGTGCAAGGCAAACGCCCTACCGGTTGTACTATTGATCCGACCCCGCTCTTTCTGATTCTCTGCACAACCAACATTAGGCTCGGGGGCTCCGTGCTAGAAACAGCACAGCAAGGACTGCTGGGAAGACCCCTGTTCTAGCACGGAGCCCCCGAGCTTGTGCAGAGCCAGCCGCAGGGCCCCCTCTCTGCACACCTCTGTAAAGCAATTGTGCCCCACTTCTCTCTGACCTCGGGGCCCCACACTGCCATACCTTCTGTCCTCAGCACTTGGAGATGGCTCTGACTGCATCCCCGGGGGCGTCAGGGTTCCCCTCCCTGGGACATCCTCCTTTCTAAACCTCCAACCCCACCCCTGCAACCCTGGAGGCTTCCTGGCCTCCCGCATTCCCCAAGATTCTGGGGCCGGAGCAATAGCACAGTGGGTAGGGCGTTTGCCTCGCACATAGCCAAATCGGATTCGATCCCTGGCATCCCATATTGTCCCCAGGGCACCTCCAGGAGTGACCCCTGAGCACAGAGCCAGGAGTAAGCCCTGAGCACTGCCAGGTGTAGTTCCAAAACAAGAATAAAAAGATAATGGATCCACTTTTTTTTTTTTTTGCTTTTTGGGTCACACTCGGCAATGCTCAGGGGTTACTTCTGGCTCATGCAATCAGGAATTACTCCTGGCGGTGCCTGGGGAACCATATGGGATGCTGGGAATCGAACCCAGGTTGGCCACGTGCAAGGCAAACGCCCTACCCGCTGTGCTGTTGCTCCAGCCCCCCCATTTTTTCTTTTTGGGTCACACCCAGCAACGCACAGGGATTACTCCTGGTTCATGCACTCAGGAATTACTCCTGACGGGGCCTGGGGCGACCATATGGGATGCTGGGAATTGAACCCGGATCAGGCGTGTGCAAGGCAAATGCCCTACCCGCTGTGCTATTGCTCCAGTGAATCCACTTTGACCCCAGCCCCTTCCCCACTTGCCCCCTGGTTCTCCCCAGAATCCAGGGCTTGGCACAAGTAAAGAGCTCAGGTTTGGGCCAAATGGCCAGTGATTGACAGGCGGCTCCCTTCACCCTCCTAGGACCCGCCCATCCTCCAGGCTGGCTCCTGGTTCGAGGTCCCTGCTGTCACTCCAGGGGCTCTTCCTGTCTGTCTCTCCCCATCTGCTTCCTGCCCCACTACCTCTGACCCCCCTCCCTTTCCCCCATAAAGTGAACTGGGAGTGGGCGCTGCTGTCCTCCCCCGACCCAGCCAGGCGGCCTGGGGGTCCTCACCACCCCCTCCTGCTCTCCAGGGGGCCAAGGCCAGGGCAGAGTTCTATCCTGCCAGGAGTGGGGTAACCAGGTGGGGTGAGGGGGCTTCAGCCCAGCCCCCCTCCCGTTCTGGATCCTTCCATCAGGCGGATTCAACCGTCCCCCCAACACCCTCACCCCAACCCCCCACTCCAGTCTGGATTCTTGCTACTGGCATTTACAAATGCGCGCGTCTCCTCATAAAATAAACCTCTTCCATCTCACACCCGCCTCCTCCTCCTCTCTCACTCCTCTCCCTTCGCAGCCCAAGCTCTCAGCCAAGCTGCCTCCCCGTCTTCACCTCCCACTCACCCCTCAGCCCGTTCCGAGACGGCGTCGCACCCCACCCGCCTCCCGCTCCACCCTCACGCAGCCTTACTACCAGGCTGCTGTCTGGGGCCCGCCAGCTCCCCTGTTCGCCTCTCCCACCAAGCCCCCACCTCCACTTTGAGACCCTCTTCCCTGCGCATCACCCACCCCAGTCCGTCACCGGCTCCAGACCTGAGCTCCAACCCTGCTCCCCTCCCACTGTTCTCAGTTCTCACGCACTGCCCAACCTTGCCATCTGCCCTGCCCCCTACTCCCTGCTGCGGACAGATTAAATGGGTCACAGGGTCACATCTCCACCCAGCCCAGCGTACCAAGTGTGCCCACCCCATCTTCTTCAATGTCGCCCCCCTGGCTGGAAAGAGCACGCAGCGGATAGGACACTTGCTTTGCACGTGGCTAATCCCAGTTCTATCCCCTGTACTGCCAGACTCACTCGAGCACAGAGCCAGGAGTAGCCCCCGAGTCCCCACTGGGGGTACCCCCACCTCCCCGCAAACAGCTTCCACAAGAACCAGAACTGAGGTCTTCCTCCACTTGCCACCAGAAGTTTTATTTCTGCCTCTCCCTCCCTCGGGTTGGTTTATACCACACAAGTGGCCTCAAGTCTAGAGACAGACTTGAATGCCCAGAGTGCATGAATGTCTCACGTGACCCTCCAGTGCCCAGCCTATCAACGGCTCATCCTTTTTTTTTTTGTCTTTTTGGGTCCCACCTGGCGATGCTCAGGGGTTACTCCTGGCTCATGCACTCAGGAATTACTCCTGGCGGTGCTCAGGGGACCATATGGGATGCTGGGAATCGAACCCAGGTCAGCCACGTGCAAGGCAAACACCCTACCCGCTGTACTATTGCTCCAGGCCCCCTGCTCATTCTTCTAGCCCTCTGTCCCTCTGTCCATTTCCAGCCTCTAAAACCAAGGCCGCCTGCTCTGAGCTTGGTATTTCAGGGCACGACTCAAACGGAAGCATAAGAAAAGGTAAATGCTGTCCCCCCAATGCCCAGTGCTTCCCCGGGGGCACTGTCATTTCACCTCCAATTCCCCCTACCTTGGATGATGATGATGATGATGAAAATGATGATGATTTTGCTTTTTGGGTCACACCTAGTGATCCTCAGGGATCACTCCTGGTTCTGCACTCAGAAGTTACTCCTGGCAGTGCTTGGGGGGGACCATATGGGATGCCGGGGTTCAGCCGCATGCAAGGCAAACACCCTACCCACTCTACTATCGCTCCAGCCTGATTATTATTATTATTACTATTATTATTATGCTGTAGCACTGTCCTCCCGTTGTTCATCGATTTGCTCGAGCGGGCCCAGTAACGTCTCCATTGTGAGACTTGTTGTTACTGTGTTTGGCATATCGAATACGTCATGGATAGCTTGCCAGGCTCTGCCGTGACGGTGAGGTACTCTCGGTAGCTTGCAGGTCTCTCTGAGAGGGGTGGAGGAATCGAATCCAGCTCAGCTGGGTCGACCGCGCGCAAGGCAAACGCCCTACCGCTGTGCTATCGCTCCAGCCATTATTATTATTATTATAATTCACACTTGTCCCCTTCACGAGTCTAACAGTGCCGGGCACTGGGTATTTCCTGAATTCTACCAAGGGAGAGAGGAAGGAGTGGGGGTGTGTGGATTCAGCTGTCAGGACGCAGATAGGAATCGGGGTATCAGAGGCAGGTGTGGCTTCTACCTGCCTCTGCACAGGCTCGCACCCCAGGGAGCTGTCTCTTCAGGCGGCCACCCCCAGCTCCTCACTGACTCAGGTGCCCAGGAGACCCCAGCCTGGGGTCAGGGTACGGTCAGCCCAATCACTTAGCAAACAAATGTGCCCCTAGTGGCCCTCGGAGGCAGGGGAGGTACTAACAAGCCACAGGGGAACAGAAGACACCGCCCGGCCCCGCCCCCAGGCCAGGCTCTCTGAGCCTCCTGGGCTGATGAGACAGAAGGGATGATGGGTGCCCAGGGCCAGCTCTTTGTGCCCACCTGTCATGGCCCCCTGCCCCCCAACTCGTGCAGAGGGGTTGGCGCTTAGATGCTTCCAGATGAAAACGGGAGAGGCTGGCATCCCTGCAGTATGGACAGGCTCCACAGCCCCACAGAAAGAGGGAGCCCACGCGGACCAGCCCGGAGGCCCCAATTTTGCCCCCACTGTCCACTCTCCAGGGAAGGCCGAGTCTGTGCATGACACCACTGCACGGGGGAACCCAGGGATTCTCTGCACCCCCAAACTGGACATTCAGCTCCTGGACCTTCTTGTCTCTTTCCCTGGACAGGAAGTACGAGATGGAGGGGTCCAATGGAAGCACCGCACCCCCGACCCGGGTCCAAGTGTCTGTGTGTCCCTCTGACAGTCACTGAACTGTGCCATGCAGCTGGGGGTGACCCGTGGGACATTGTAGACAGTCACAGGGTGAGACTGGTGTTTCGGGGACTGTTCCTTTGGGACATTTGCTTTCCCGTAAGCCCTGCTGGCTCCAGGAGCTGATCCAGGTAAGAGCTGCAGAAAGAGTGAACACACGCCCCGAACCACACAACGGCCCACGTTCTCAGCCCCAGCAGATTTTGTGGAGCGTCTTATAAGGAGCATCAAATGGTCTGCACAGATCCTTGACCTGGGGAACTTTTGTCACTCCCTGCTGCCTCCACACCTCTGCATTAGACGTTTCCATAGGTGCCTGCAAAGTTCTCTCCCCATGACTCTCTCTTCTTGGCTTTCAAATTGGAGTTTAAACATCCCTTTCTGGGGCTGGAGAGATAGCACAGCGGGTAGGGCGTTTGCCTTGCACGCGGCCGACCCAGGTTCGATTCCCCGCATCCCATATGGTCCCCTGAGCACCGCCAGGAGTAACTCCTGAGTGAAGAAGCAGGAGTAACCCCTGTGCATCGCCGGGTGTGACCCAAAAAGCAAATAAATAAATAAAAAATAAACATCCCTTTCGCCTAAGGGCAGGGAGCAAATCTGTATTCTTTTCACCTATTCTTTTTTTGCTGTTGTTTTGTAACATCCTTTTTTTCTGTTTTGTAACAGGGCAAGGTTTAGGGGTTACTC